ACCACCCCTGGCCCCATATCCCCACCCCATATCCCTCCCCCACCCCCCCCCCCAAAAAAAGAAAAAAAAAAAAAGAAAAAAAAGCAACTGAGAAGGCTTTACCTGTGTTTGTTTAGAGCAAAGGGCACAGTAGCATTTGCGTCACAATTACATTTACAATTAGCAAGTCAGTGTACCTCATCTGAATTGGAGATGTAATACCAGTGATCCCTTCTGTGTGTGAGGCTTGTTATTTACTTTACCTCCATGCGTCAATAGGATCAAACAGTTGCAGGGAGAAATGTTCCTACCTATTCTATGGGAGATGAACTCACCCTGTCTGTTGTTCCATGTTAAACAGTGAGATCAAACCTGAAGAATAACAGAGGATGCTGCAAGGGTGTGGGTGAAAGCACCCCATACCAATCAGGAAGGGATAACAACTTCATGTTATCTCCTGTAGAAGTCAAGCTGGGCCTTCTCAGCCCATGTGTGCCCAAGGTGGGTTCCAAAAGTGCATTAGGTCTTTTTCCTTCAAGTTCCTTACTTGTGTGGCTGGGGATGGAATGGGCACGGACAGCTGCAACACACTGTTCTGAGGCCAGGTCAGAAAGATGGCGTAGACAACTGGTCCTTTGGAAGTGTACCTAAGGCAGGAAGGTTCACTGAGGTAAAGAGCCCACAAGAGAGAATCAACCATGGCCCAACCTGGCAGCATGTGAACACCGGCTTGCCCACCGTCACTCCACAGGGGTCACCTACTTTCCCCTTATTCCAAATCTCTCACTTTGGACCCATCAGAAAGTGCTGGCTGATAAAACCCAAACAAAGAAACAAAGTCCACACATGCTGCCTAAAAGCAAATGTCATCAGTCCTTGCCTCAGACTGTGGTCAATGCATCAGATGAGCTGCCATGTGCTGATCTTGTCATTGCTCTGCATTTCTAGACTGAACACATTTGGGCACACTCAGAACTAAAAGCTCTGTTCTGTAGCATTTCTGGCTATTGATTCACTCACTGTGCTTTTCTCAGAAAGTACAATGGTTGGGTAACAGTGAGCAGGACTGTTATCTAACGTCCTAAAAGCAAATATTACTGCATTTTCAGATTATATGCATTGAAAGAAACTAGCCATCACCACTACTTAAAACAGTCCTGACAGCAATGGTATGGATTTTTTTTTCAAAGAACGACTGTTTTTTAAATCACATAACATGGCTGAAGATCTGAATTTTATTCCGTTCTTTCCACATGATGCTCCTTAGATTACATGTGGCAGTAAGTGAGCACTCCAGCTCTAGGATATCACCTAAAGGCCACCTGTGACTAATGGCAACCCTTCAGAAAATGCCAAATTTAAGAAGCAGCATCAGCTTTGGAAGTCCCAGCCCAGCTGAGCAATGGAGTCCTTACCAGATGGTGTCTGTGCTGTTCTCCATCTGTACTCTCCATGGCTTTGACTCATAAATTGCCTCCCCGTTTGTGCCCAGCCATCTCCCGAGGGCCAGAAGCCTTTCTTGGAAGATGGGAACAATCACTCCCTCTTTTGTAGGTCCCACGTTGAGAAGGTAGTTGCCTCCAAAGCTCACAGTTTGCACTAGCTCCTGTGGCAGACAAATTAAGGTCACAATTGCATTTTCTTCACTTCTGACAACAAAGAAACTCAAGGAGTGCTCTGTCCTCATGAAATGCTCCTTTAGGTCCACTTGCCTGTATGAAGCCCATGCCAGATCTTTTTCCATGTAGCAGAATGAAAGAAATCTTTAATACTTGGTTAACTCTCACACCTGTTCATTTGAATTCTGATTTCTTACCTTGATGATACTGGCTACATCCATTAACTCATCAATGTGCATGTTGCTTCGATAACCCCAGGAGAGCTTGTCAATGGAGGAGCACATCTCCCACTTGTGAGTAGGCAGGGTCCCTGGCTTGTATTTGTCAGCACAGTTGTAGAAGCCTCCGTGATGGCAGGAGCAATTATTACACCAACGGTCGTTCACAACAACAGTATCCTGGAAGAAGAAACGTAGCTCAGAAAACAGAAGGTTTTGTCTGGGACTTTTTCAGCTTGCATCCATCTGTCCTGAGTTACCTGAGGCATCTAAGTTAGTGGGCCAAGTACTTATCCCCTGGGATTTGAATCCCAGAGGTTTCTCTTAAAAGCACAATGTGGACTTTTTAATTCTGGTGAAAGAATAAAACAAGTTTGGCACCTGCCAAGAAGGTTACTCATTTGATCGCATTCATATCTCCATGCTGCCAGACCTTCCACACCTATACAGTGCTGCAGGCCATGAGGGACAGCTGAAGGTTTTACCTTGACGGGACTGTCGTTATACAGCCAGGCAAGGAAGGAGGTAGAATTCCAGTATGAGTCTGGAGCTTCCCAGTCTCCATCTGACCAAATCAAATCTGGTTTATACCTAACAGAGAGATTAACATTATTTCAGAATGGCTTATCTGCTCCTACCCCAAAAGAAGCACTTCAGAGTTTCTTGTCTCTGGAGTCACTTTCATTTCCCATCACTTGACATTACCAAGAGGTTCGTGTTACCACTTCCCACTCCAGAAAAAGCTGCAAGTGACTTTCTTGTAGCAGCAGAGTGATTATCATGGCTCAAAGCACAGGATGCAGTTCTTCCAAACACAAAAGACTGCATCTTAGAGGCAGTTATGAGGCACATCCTTTACCTGCTACAATGGCTACTGTGAGCAGCATGTGTCCAAGCCTGGTAGTTTGGTCAACTGGGAAATCAAAGGAGGGATGCAGATTCATAGCAAAATTGCTCTTCTACTTTACTAAACAGCTTGCTGCTTTTTCAGAACTGCTCTCAGAAAAGGCAGCTTTAAAGGGCATTTCTCTTGCACGCAAGATCTGCCCCTATCTTACTGTACAAGTTAGATTACAGACAAGGCAAACGTGAACCCCTTTTTTAATTACCTCAAATCATTACTGCTAAGTAAACAGATTTCCTTTGGCAAAAATTAGCATTTGTCATCTCTGTTCTCTGCATCTACTTAGCATCTTTCTAGATAGTGTGAAAGCCAAGAACTGCTGTTGCATCCTGACTAGTTGCAGCTTACTTTAAGACAAGATCATAGAGTTCTGGCATTGTCTTCTTTAAAACAAAGTTCTGGGTCTTGAAGCCGCTTTCTTTGTCAGACAGATAGAGAGGGTTGAACCACTCTAACAGAGAATGATATAGTCCGTAGCGTAAGTTGCTGAAGGATAGAAAACACAAAGGAAAGAGTTAGGCCAGCAGCAGGGATTGAGAATCAGTGTAGAGTAGATTACTGGCATTATTATTTCACAGTTTCGTGACTTTGCAAGCACTGTTTTCATATCAAACTCATCATTTTCTGCTGTTTGCCAAGAACAGCCAAGAGAATTCAGTGCATGAAGATGACAAAGCAGCAAAGTGTAGCCATACTTCTCTCTGAGCGCCTGTCCCAGCTCTCCCACGAGGTCGCGGTGGGGCCCTGTGTCCAAAGAATTCCAGTTCCAGGACACAGGAGACCCCCAGTTGGTGAAGCCTTCATGGTGCTTTGTGGTCAGCACCACGTACCTGAGGGAAAGGCTCTGGATCAGGGTGACAAAGGAGCTGAGTTATCCCCAGTCCTCACTGCCAAATCCAAAAATACGAAAGCAAGGAACTGAGAAACCACACCGTGAGGGGTCCTCGTTTGAAGCCCTTTTCATTATCCTTAAAATTAAAAAAAGATGACATGAATAGCAAAGTTTTAAAATGGATTTTAATTCTGGAAAAGATGACCAGCGGAGTCTCGCGGAGCAGTAAGAGCAGCCGTCTCTGTGGCACTTCAGGCACGGCTGTCAGGGACCCAAGTCCCTTCCGGATCCCCAGAAATGGTCTCATCCCCTCACGGACCCCCCGACGCGGCCCCATCCCCTCACGGACCGCAGCCACTGGTGCCACCCGGCCGGTGCCGCGCACTGACCTGGCACCGGCCCGCCGGAAGAGCCGAGCCCACTCACGGGGCTGGAAGTCGTGGGCGGTGAAATGGGGCGCGAAGTCCGCGTACGAGGCGGCGGGCGGGAAGCGCTGCTGCACGAAGCGCTCGTAGTCGGCGCGGCGCTCCCCCCGCCAGTGCCACCAGAACCACTCGGAGCCCCAGGCCGGGACGGAGAACACGCCCCAGTGCACGAACACCCCCACCTTCACCCGGTCGAACCAGGCGGGCAGCGGCCGTGCGTCCAGGCTGGCCCAGTCCGGGCTGTAGCGCGGCGCGGCGAGCCCCGGCCCCAGCGCGGCCGCCAGCCACAGCACCCCGCCCGCCACCATGCTGCCGCCTGACGTCACGCGGCCGCCGCCATGGCTACCGAGGCAAAGGCTCCCGCCGTCGCAACCCAGAGCTGCCCTCCGCCTCCTCACCCGCCTCTGCCCCGCGGCGCGTCCGTGACTGCTGCCTGCACTCTGTGAGGAGGAAGGGAAGGCTGAAGGGTCGGCACTTCAGCTTCCCTGAGGTCCCTCACTCCCGGGTCGCGTCGCCTGCGTGTTCCAATTGAGCCAGAGCAGAGTCCAAGGGCCTCGCTCCCGTGCCCAGACAGCACAGGCAGGCCTGTCCCTGAGGCAGCCCTGTGGTCCTCAGGGCGCTGGTGAAGGGCCCTGTAGGTTTTACAGCCAAAGCTGCTGCTTCTGTGTGATTTGCAAAAGAATCTGTTGCCTTAGAGGCTAGTGGAAGAAAAGGCTGAAACATTTCTTTAATGTTTAATTGTATAACATCCAACAATGTGTGGCTGAGATTTAAGTTTCTGTAAGTCTGCAAGGCAGGAATAAATAGGTGTACTGTTACTATGCAGTGATGTGCTGCTAGAGCTTTGCTGGCAGTGCTTGTGTAACTCTGCCCGTGCCAAGCAAAGGGCTGGGACAACATTTTGTGAAATGCTGAGGCAGACATAACTGAGAACAAGGAAAAATGTCAGGTAGCTACTGGCAGGCAGACAGGATTTGCTGTTCCGAGGTATGGCATCACCCTCTGCTTTGTGTGCAGCACACCATGGCATGGCACCAGGTCTTGGCAGCCCTGGGAATGGCAGTCTGTACAGGTCTGGGCATTTTGTGTCCCGGTGTCTAAGAAAGCATCAGTAGGAGCTGACTCCATGACCCGATCTGTCATCTCCCAGGACTTCTACAAGGACAGAAAATAAAAACAATCTGAAAGAGAAATGATCCACACTCCAGCTGAGCTCAGACTTCCTGGCACTGCATCCCTACATGGCATGTATGTCCTCACAGACGGTCTCTATCATGGAGGACCTGTGAGCGCTCTCTGCTTCCGGGCTGTCATTTGAGGTCCTCAGCTGCCTCCTGCATCGGGAAAGGTGCATCCTCAGGGAGGAATACAGCTCCTTGCTCCGCAGGGCATAAATAATCGGGTTCACCATAGAATTGAGTAGGCAGAGGGTGCAGCAGAAGGCAAACACCTTGCGCAGGTGATTGTTCAGACTTACAAAGATGCTGTAAATCATGAGAATTAGGGCCGGCAACCAGCACAGCACAAGGACGGTCAGCACCATGACGAGGGTCTTGGCCAGCATGATGTCCATCCTCATCCTGGCGTTCTGCTTTCCCACATGCACCTGGTGTTTCTCCATGTATGCCACATGCTGGTGAGCCCTCCACAGCACATGTGAGTAAGCGCAGACAATACACCCCAGCAAAATCAAGACAAGACAGATCCAAGTGAACAGATAATTATTGTCCACAAAAGGGAACAGCTCGGAACAGGCTGAGTTGAGTGTGCAGCAGTTCCAGCCCATCAGAGGCAGGAAGGCATTGGCCACACATCCCAGCCAGAGCACTCCTAGCGCTGTCCACGCTCTCTTTCTCGTCACAAGCAGCTTGTATTTGGAGGGGCGGCTGATGGAGATGTAGCGGTCCAGGGCTGTTAGCAGCAAGCTGCTCAGGGAGGCCGTGAAAGATGTGTTCACCCCTCCCAGCTTCAGCAGGAACAATTCTTTAGAAGAATCAGTTTCATTAAAGACATGGAAGTTAACAAAACTTCCTACAAAGATGATGCTGGCCAAGAGGTCCGCCAAGGCCAGGCTGCTGATGAAGATGTAAGAAGGCTTTCTCCTTGTGCCAGAGGAGGAGAAGATCAGGTAAAGCACCAGACAGTTCTCAAAAATGCACAGTGTTCCAAAGAGGCCACAAAGTGTGGCAATGCTGATCTTCTGTGCTTGTGTGCTGAGCACCATGAAGCATTCCATGCTTTTGGAGCTCGCAATGCATTTGGAGGTATTTTCATACATCTCACAGTTATCCATTATACTTAACTGGAGCCAGGAACGTGCAGGGAGAGTTTTGGCTTCCTGTACTCCAAATGCTCTGAAAAAGATTGAGGGGAAGGTGAGGGATAGGAACACTGCAATTAGTAAATTCAGTTCCCTTGGTGGTATCCCTCCTTTTACACAAAAGGAGATGATCCTGTTGCAACCTACTCTCAAGGAAATGTAGTGTGATGGGGAAATGCCTGCTGGGGGTGCAGAGCAACTCAGTGCATGCTGTGGCAGTCAAGTCCCATTTTTCTCTACACTTCTGCAGTTTAATGCATTCAGATCCCTTCATTTTTACCACACTGAAGAGCTTGTTCTCATTCATCAAGGACAGCAGATGTCTTTGGAGGCTACAACAGATAGCAGTGACCAACACTCTAGAAAACCACATCCACCACATTTAAGCAGCAAGAGATGTTTGTACTTGTCTCCATTACTTCCTTCCCCATTGAGTACCCACTCCTCTGACTGCTGCTGTTGTTTCTGTGCTTGGCAGCAGCTGCAAACACCCATCAGCCTGTGATATTGTGCAGAACCCACTGAGAAGACCCTGACCCCACACTTTCCTCCCACCTGCCCATTGGGGAACAAACATCGGCAGCTGCAGGGTATTCAGTTGCTTGTTACACCCAGAGCATTTTGATCCTGATTTGCATTTCTTGGCGTATTGGACTGGAGTAGTTCTGGACCTTGGGATGAAATATGGCTTAGCATTGCAGCAAGCTGCTCTCCTCTTACGTCAGGTTTTCTGGCATGGGGCAACCACACAGGACCACAGCTATTGCACTCCAACTTCAGCATCTCATGTTTCCTGCAGCAGTAGTTGCTCGATGCCATTATCAAATCTGACAGCCCTTGTCTCCCTAGAGGAGTGCACTATGCAGCCAGGTGGGTTTTGACACATCTAGGGATTCACCAGGGCCCTTGGGGACCCAAAACTCTCTCAGCAAAACCTTGCCATCCAAACCAAGACATCACTTAAGCAAACTCTACTTTGATATCTATTAATTGCAAACGGCTTTCCCTTTCTTAAATTCTCCATACCTGCATTTATGTAGTGTCCAAAGAACACTACAATGCTGTGTTCAAGAAATGTTTAGATATTGTACTACGGGACACAGTCTAGTGGGGAAATGACAGGTGGATGGTTGGACTTGCTGATCTTGGAGGCCTTTTCCAACCTTAATGATTCTATGACTCTACACTGAGGAGACGGGAAACCACTTGAACAAAAAGCAAGTGCCTGTAGGTAAGCAAAGCGCTGTCCCCTGTGCAGTGTTGCATCAGGAGAAACTGGTTATAGTGGCAAAATAACCACCATACTGACTGTTCTAGGACAGTTTCCTCCATTAACCTGATACAATTAAGAGAAGCCCTTAGGTTCAAAATGCAGCCACTGTGCTGGGCTTGTAGACATCAGCCAGGCAGCCCAGACCTCCTCTTCCCATATTTGCTGTGTCTCAGGCTGGATATCAGACAAGGATAGCTTTCTGCAGTTTGGACTGAACTCCCCCCAGTCCTCCTTCCAACTCTGGTGACTGCAAGGGAAGGCACAGGGCCTTGCTCAGCCCTAGCTCTACTTCTTTGCACAGTTTGGCACTATTTTGGAAGTAGCTGTTCCCTCTGGCTAGTCCCTCTGGCTACATTAAGAAATGCCCAGCAGTTATTTTCCTGACGTTAAAAACTCTATGGCACAAGTGCCACGTTGAGGATTATTTGCTTTATTTGTTTTCAGTCACTATCTGCCCACGTGTGACTGCAGTAACAGCGTCCAAAGCACACTAGTGCATTGCTGCAGAGCTGCAACACTGTGCCAGCACGAAGCACACAACATGGCAGAGCAGTGCTCCACTGAAATCCCACAGGGAGCCAAATGCAGCATCAATCAGCAGAGTGCTTGGCCTCAGAGCTCAGCACCACTCACGTTTAAAAAGCATTTGGAAGTCTCCCCAGTATATTTAACGTAAATATTTTTTAAAACCAGCTGTAAAGAGTCAGTCTTCACTGAAACACTTACCTCCTTTTTGCTCTTGTTAAGAAAGCATTCATCAAAAAAAAAAAAAAAAAAGGAAAAGAAACAAAAAAAAAAAAGGAAACAAAACAAAAATTGTTACACAGTGCAGTTAGTCCTGAATATTACCAGACTTCTCCCCCACATCAGCATTGTGGCTCGAAGTAAGCGAATGATGCTTCACCCTGAGAAAGGATGGTGCACTATGGGACGTCCCAGGGGCTGGGGCTTGCTTCTCACCTCTTCCTGTGGCTGGGCCTTCCCAGCTCCAGCCCAGGGCAGCTCCTGCAGCTGCAACTGCTTCCCCCTTCTTTCACAGCTCTTCTGCTCTCATCTGGGTTCCACGCATAATGACGTGTTATTCTCCTGTGCTGCATCCTTTCTTGCTCTCTTTCGCATTCTTTTAGTGAGCGTGTGGTTCTTTCCTTCCCCACTTCCCCTCTGTGTCTGTGTTCTGCTGGCCATGAATGCCACCTTGTTCAGCCATGCTCACATGTGCCCAATCTCCCCCGGTTCTGCTATGCTCACGCAATTTTGAGGCAAGAGACCTCCAGTATCTTCTCCTGATTTCTATGAGGGAATGGAAGAGGAAGGGAAGGAAAAGAGTCAGAAGGCAGATAATTTATGTTCAGCTGTCACACACGGGGAACTGCTATGTGAGCCTTTGGGCCCCATTCACAGCACGAATCCTCCTCTGTGCCACTGGGGCCAGTTCTCTGTGCACCAACATGCTCTGCTGATGCCAGAAGAGTAAGGTTGTATTTTCACTGTAAATGGCAGGGAAAGATAATAGCCTAAGTGACACAATAAGGCCTGCAGACAGGACAGACCATGGCCTAGAGAACAAGGGCGGAGCTCCCACTGCCTGGGGCTGCCCGTGCAGCAGGATCTGTGCTGCAGAGCCGGGACGGGAGGCGGTGACACGGAGCAAAGCTGCCCTTGGAAGCCCACGGGCATCGCAATGGTGGGAATGTGAGAGTCTGCTCCCAAACCGAAGGATTTTGCCCCATTGCGGGCGGCTGCGGTGCGCGGCGCTCGGCCGCCCCCGCCCGGCCTGCTCTGCTCTTCTGTCACGGTTCGGAGGAGAGAAACGTTTTCTCCGCAGCACATCCAGAAGCACGGTCCGACCTGCACTTTGATGCGCCCTGGCAGAATAACTGTGATAGCCTGAGGACTTTGTGTTCACCTCCAGCTTGAGTTTGTTCCCTTATCTGCAGCTAGCACAGCTGCGAGCAGCCCTGGCTTGGAAACTCCCCACTCCATGCCAACTGCTGAGATCAGTGGTCAATTCTATGTTCCCACAAAAGTCACCTTCTGCTTTTTTTTTTTCTTCTTTTTTTTCTTTTTTCCCCTCCTCCTGTTTGTTTTGTTAGCTGGCACTGAACAAGCATAGAACCAACCACAGCACCGCTGCTGGAGCACCCCTTGCTCTGCTGCGCTTAAAGGTCTGCTTCTATCACCTGGGGTGGCTGAGTTCAGTGCATCAATCTCATTTAGCAGTACTGAACGTAGCAGCACACCCAGGCACCAACAAGACAGTGCTTCTGAAGAAACGCAGAGGAAAAAAAAAAAGAAAAAAACAACACAGCATTATTTTTTTCTGCATACTGTGGCTCAGAAGCAGAGCATGCTGGGCTCACCCTCCATCCCCATAGGCAGTGCCTGCATCAAAGGGAGCTGCTCTGAGAACTCCTCTGTGTGCACTGCAAGGGTGGAAATGCTTTTCCTGCTGATAGGATGAAAAGTCAGTTGGTTTAAATGGGCTGAGGGCTTTCATGAGCTCTTGTGACTTACTGCTGTATGTTCCAACAGGAGTTGCGAGATGGTGAATAGCTGGGAGCATCTCAGTTTGGGTCTAATGAAGCTCTGAGGATTTAATGGAACATTTATGCAAAATGTTGTCTCCTGCAGTGTCCTGTCTGAGGGACGGGTGGTATGGACCAGGGCGTTATGGCTGGAAGAGCCTCATTCAGTTGTCACAGCTGTAGAAATGTGGTAGAAGAGCTGAGTAAGGCAGATCCCTGGTGAGGACCGAGGTCTGTGTTGGGTCTTAAGGATGCAGCAGCACCTGGAGCTCCGTGTGCCCACAGCTTCTGTTCCTTTCTTCCACTGCTGAAAGCTCAGTGCAGGTGGTGCTGCGGGGCTGGGCCCCGTGAGTTGATGGTTCTGCTGACCTGAACGCACCGATCGCAACCAGAGCTGAGCGGTGCAGCACAGGCCATGTCTGAGGTGGCTGGGGCACTTCCGAGGCTGAAATGCTCGGTTACAGCAGGCATTGTAGTTTTCAAATAGAGAACCACCGCAAGGCCTCAGACATAAGAGTAGGTGCCAGGAAATAGAACGATAGGAGAAAAGGGAGCGGCCCCCGGCCGGCTATTGTGCGAACGCGGAGCGCAGCCGCTTCCGGGCAGGCGCCAAGCGCCGCTCCCGCGCTGCAGGGATTCGAACCGGACCCCGCCCCGTCATGGCGGTGGGCGGGACTTGTCTCTCATTGGCTGTAGGGAGCACGCAACGCGCTACTATTGGTTGGAGCACGGTGACCTGGGAGGCATGGAGAGGGAAGAGGTTTTAAAAAGCGACGGGAGCGACCGCCATTTTGTGTGGGAGACGGAGAAGCGGCGGTGTGGTTGGATTTTGCTGCGCGGGGGTTCGGGGAAGTGACGGCGGTGAGCGGCGGGGTCGGTTCGGAAGGGCCTGCGCGCGCGTCTGTGGCTACAGACGGACGGCACGGACAGAAGTCGGTAAGGCGGGGCGCTGCGGAACGGCCGAGGGCCGCCATGTTGTGCTCGCGACGCCGCGCCATTGTTGGGAGCGGGGCGGGGGCGGGGGCGGAGAGGGGAACGCGGCCCCTGAGAACGGAGCTGAGGAGAGGGCGAGCCGTGGGCCGAGCGAGAAATTGTTTAAGAGCTGTCGAGGAACGACGACGGGCCGACAAAGGTGGGAAAGCGGCCCGAGGCAGTGGTGGGGGTTGGCGGTGCGGTCCGAGCTGCGCCCGCTGCGTGCCGTCAGGTTTCGGCCCTCGGCCTCCCGCGGGGCGCTTCCCGTTGCATTTGACTTTTTTTCCATGAGACCAAGGATGAGGGTCTTGATCGTCTCTCCTTAATTAAAATGCTAATTGGACTAAGATGTCAGCTGTACAGGAAAAACGCTGTTCTCTGTGTAAATCTAAGTGTGATGTTAGGTTAATATAAATAAAGTAAAACCAGTGCTGCCAGGTTCGAATGTATATTCAGCATTAACAACTAAGAGGGACGCAACTGACTGCTAATTCTGTGAATTTTATCTTCTTTTGATAACTTTTTTTTGTAGTTCCAAACTTGAAAGGGAAAACAGTTGTTCTTGTGCCTGATTTCAGACTCTCTTTTATGCAGCTGCGACTTCTCCCCTTGGAGTTTAGTGCCGAGAATCTGATGTTGGGCTCGGCTGCCTGGCTGAATACAGCGGATCGGCCCATGAAAACTTCTGTTCCTAGCCAAAGGAAGGAGTGTAGTGAAAGGCAGCACTTACTCTTTCAGGCTTGGAAGCAAGAAAGGGGGCAAGAATTGGAGAGAGTGGAATCGGAGAAGACTACTGAAAGGTAAATGAGACATGGAGAAAATAGGATGACTGCAGGAGAGTCAGCATCAAGGTGCCAAGTATGTGGCGGCATCTTGGTTTTCCTTCAGACATCCAGTTACAAATGGCTCCTTCCACACTTGAGTGTGTTTTCAGTTCACTTAGGTTTTTAGTTTGTATTCCACAGGTGTGCCCTGGTCTGCCCCTGTGTGCTACCTCCTTGTCTCCTTCCAGAAAAATCGGTTCTGGAAAGTAGATCTCTACTTTGCCTTGACTGACTATAACTACTTAGGAATATCAGGAATCAAAATAGTCTTTTTTTAGACTGGGGCATGCTTTATCAGTGCAGATTTCACCCAGATCACTTAAGTGTAATATAGGTTTGGTTTAAATGTCTTAAAGATTAAATACTAACACTTTTCATTTGATATTGTGTTTTGCGAACAGTAAAACTTTCACATTTTCCTAGTAGCACAATTTGTTAGGGAAGAAGTGGTGGCATGTCCAGTGGTTGGGCTGTCCAGAGGACCAGCTTTTTCATAAATAGGTAGACAAAGGTGTGCATTGGTATAGGTCTGCACACAAAGGAGTGGTCTGTATACAGGATGGATCAATGCATGATGACCAGCAGGTCAGCCATTAGCAGCAGAATTGTTAAGACACATCAGTTTTCCTGGGTTTAAAAAAGAAAAATCCAAACTTTTCCCTTTCTTTACAGGTGACATTTAAGTTGAAAATGGGTGGTGGAGAGAGGTTCAATGTTCAGGTTCCCCAGTCTAGAAATATTACCAAGAACCATCAACAACTTAAAAGCAGGCAGAAGAATAAAGACCAGAATTCACAGATGAAGAAAACCTATATGAAGAAAGAAAGAGGACATGGATGCAACTCACTGTCTGGTGCATGGCAGGCCATGCAGAAGGCAGGAAAGAACAGTGTTGATTTCCCCTGTAATCAAAATTGGAGTCCTAATTTATCAAATTGTAAGCTATTTTTCTCGCCTCAAGCCAATCAGAACTATGCTGGAGCAAAGTTTAGTGAACCACCCTCACCAAGTGTTCTTCCTAAGCCTCCGAGCCACTGGGTACCTGTTTCTTTTAAACCTTCTGATAAAGAAATAATGACATTTCAGCTTAAAACACTGCTTAAAGTCCAGGCTTGAGATGGAACTTTAAATCTTTTACAGTTATTTAAATTTATAGGCCTCCAAATTTGAGAGTAGTTACTCAGAACTGCAGATGCACAGGTAACATGACCAGATGTTCTTGCTGCGTATAAATGAAAGAGAAGGGGATAGGTGGGGAAGTTTAAATCCCCAGTGTTTTACCTCAAAAGTTGTGTACTTTGTTGATTTTGCTGTTACATAGGGAATTTCTCAATACTTAATTTGATTAAATCCTAAACTGTCACCACTTGCTGTAGGAGTAAATGAGACCGTCCCTAAAAATTGAAATTGAGAGTCCTTTTTGTTAATGGTATTGGAAGACCAGCTTTTATTGAACTTAATGCAGCAAAAAAAACCCAACCCACTGAAAGCTTTAGTCAGGTACTCTGCCTTTTAACCTAGTATCAGATTTTCTAGTTAAAAGTCTTCTGAGCAGAATTTCCTAGTTATACCCAGCTGCCAGTGGAAATGCAAAGATAATTTTTTTCATACCTGTGAGATCTGACACTCAAACTTTTGCGACTAAAATTTAGTTTTAGGAAACATTTTTACATGTTCTTGAAAAGGTGGAAGAACACTTTAAGGAGGTCTGTGTTTCAGTCTCATTCTAGCAGTATTTCACTGGAACCTCGGCAAGGTAGACTGTGCCAATTAATGACATGCATGCATTGCCAGGTGACTGCCGAAAAGATCTTCCAAAAATTCTTTGTATTCTGATGCACTGATAAGTTCTAAAAAATTTTTTTTGGTATCATTTGCTAATTTTAAGAAAGCTGGAGTGGTTACTTAAGATAACTTTAAGTTGGTTACCCTATAATTAAGTTACAATACCTTGTGTAGGCACGCATAGTGTTTGATAGGGAAAAGAGAGCCATGTAAATAAATGTAATACTTTGTAGCATATGTAAATTTATGCTGGGCTTTCCTGCACAGAGGTATTTTTAGAAACTGGTAAATGTAAGATGACCATGCTGAGTTTGTGGCCTGATCTAAAAAATACAATTAAAAAATTATTTTGTTAAACACAAAAGGACATTTGTGGCTGTAGCCTTGGACTTAATATACAGTGAATGTGTACATTTTACTTGGTCTTGGGGTCATTTTTAAAATGAATGCAGTGCAAAAAATAATTATTTAGAAATTTGTAATAAAATTTAACAGAACTGCTTAGTTTAAGATACTTATGCTCTGAATGTTGTGCTTACAATCAAATTGGGTGTCACAAAGGACAGTTTGATGACAGCGAAGGACTGCCTCCAAAATGAATCAGTATTTACTAAAATTTGTGAAGTTCAGTTCTTGGGTCAGTGTCAACATATTGATTTCAGTGCTGTCACAGTTCAGCTGATCCTAGAATAAAAACAACTGAACTGTAGCAATTAGAGTCTGATATTATGCAAAAATCCAGTAACAACTGAAAAAGTGGTTTAACTCAAAAGGGAATTTTGGCGACATTACGGAATGCTTCTTAACGTTCTTTTCTGCATTCAAAGGCGGTGGCAGCTGGTTGAATGCTTACAGATCTGTCAATTCAAAATGTGATGGAAGTGGCTGTCTTTAAACTCAAGTCTTTCTGATCTGGACCTTAACAGCTGTAAGAGTACAATTGTTATAATTGTGTATACTCTATTTCAAATTGTCATTTACTGCACATGTACAAATTGGAAGTGGAAAAAAAAATAAAATTCCCCCCCAAAAGTATTTTAAGATGGTCGTGGAAAAGTGGGATGGCATTCTTTTTATGGAGTGCTATAAAGTACTGACTGCATGTCTCTAGTCTATAAATGTCAGAGGAACCTGGAAGTTACTCAGCAGTGAAGGATGTTTTTTGAATGATGGCCTTGTCATTCATGTCTTGCGCATGATTTATGAACACAGAGCTCAATTCTTAATTCCAATGGAATTAAGAAAAACTTCAGCGCCCACTGAAGTTCTGTCAGGCTCTGCTCCAGAAGGCGCCTCGCAAGCAAGACAACCCAGTCTGAGCAGATGCAGCTCATGTGTAACTGAGCAGAGCTGCACTCCTGCTTTCTGTTGCCTCATAAGTGGCTGGCTCAAGAGCTGAGCTAGAAGAGAAACATCCTTGATTGTTTCAGTGCTTGGTGACCAATCTACAACAATCTACAGCTGTATTAATTAAGTCAGAAGGTGCTCTCAAGTTATAGTCAAAACTTTTACATTTTATTCCCAATTCACAGGGTTATTTGCACAGATGGAACACAAAACTCCAGAAGAAAGGATGTGTATGAATAAAACATTAGCATCTTTTGATCAAACACACTACAGGGTACATAGTTTTCCCTTCCTATTATAGTCTCATCAGTAAGAGCATCTCTAGACAATTATTATAGCAATGGACTACAGACTTTAAGCATGTTACAAGATAAATGGAGAAAACCAGCAAATATTAATGGGTGATTACGTCCTAAAAATGTGTGAATTTTTCCTTTGTACTTCAAACAATTATCTGCAACACTCCTGCCAAAAATCATAGCGGTGCTGCAGCGTTTATCAATCCAGATGGCCTCTGAGTATATTCCAAGCTGTTACCCCAGACTAAACATTAAGGAAAAAGAAAAAAAGCTCTTTCCAAGAGCAGAGTTCAAAATAACATTTAAATTGAAAATTTTCACTTTGAATAAAGCCATTATACTGCACATTTAAACATATTTAAAAGACACAGAAAGGATAACATTTAGCTTTCAGAGACCAGTCTGCCATAGTCCCTAGTTTAAACACCCAGCTACTTAACCACTAAATTTAAGATTTTTAATTAACAGTTGGGTGCATGGACTTTTAGTGAAAAAGAAGTTCCAATAGAGCCTTCTATTACTGCTGAGATAAATCAATATTCTGCAAATATTTTGGAGTACAGCCATTACTTTCAGCAGAATTTTACATACTACTTCAATTCTACAAATTTTGCAGGAATGACAAGATCTAGCTTACCACAGAAAACATAATTCCCACCATTCTTGAGACTCCAAAAGAAAGATGCTTATACATGATCTTTTGCAGCCTGCATGTTCTTGCATTCCAGCTGTGCATAACCTGCAGGTAGCTTGCACTAGACAGGCTACTGTTTTGTTTTTTTTTAGAGCAGGAATGGGATACCTGCATCAAGGAAGGGAGATGTTATCTAGATAGGCTGTGGCTTGACTTGCATGAATGCATAAACATTCCCTGCCCTTTTGGCCACATCCTGCTAACTCGTCCCCAACTGAAAGGCCCACAGAACAGCTTCTTCACAATTTTTCCATGGGAGCAAGAACTAGGACAACATCTTTATTCATGCACTCTTGAAACATCGTGGGTTTGTGTTCGGCTTTTCTGGCTTGTTCATATACACAAGTCAAGTCAAAGTTTAGTCCTACCTCTGGGAGAGAAAGAAAGAACCATCAGAAGTGTCAGATACTACATTATACTTGCAATGAATTGGATTTTCAAAACAAAAAAATTAAACTGTGCTATATACAAATGTTGAGGCACACAATATAAGGACACAATAATTAAGGTATGTCACTATTACTCTTTCAACACAAATCAGAAACAGTCTGGACTACAAAGATGTTCTCCTTCCCTTCCTCCCTGTAGTTGTACCCGTAGTTCTGGCTGGGCTAATGTGAACTTTAGGTGCAGCAATCCTCTGCAGGCTGCTGATTAAAACACAACTGCACACTCCCAAGAGAACGGTGAACCATTAAGCAGTATTTCAGTTGTGAAAAGCACACATTCATTTATAGAAGCTTGAGAAGTGTGGGCTTTCTGCTGTTGCAAGCCATTTCTATGCACAACAATGATATCCACGGCCCAGTGACTGGTAAGCCCACTCTTACACTTCCTAAGCATTCAAGTGATTCTCAGAATAGTTTTTATTCTGTAGCTGACAAAGGACTACTTGTATATACCACAGGCAGCTTGAATTCTAAGCACCAAGTTGCTAGAGAACCTCAGCTGGCACTTTTTTAATATGACAAATGTACGGCGATGAGCCATTGCGAGAAATTTGGTTATATGTGAATCTTCAGTCACTGATTTTCAGTAGTTCATAATGTGACTAATATCTGAATTAAAACCATAGAGAAGCCAGTAATAATGAAAGTTAATCAAAAAGAAATGTCAATATGTTAGACCAAAGCATATGCTTATCATTCTTATTTCATCTAGTACCCCTTTAAAGATAGAAAATGATATTTACTCAGGCAACAAATGATAAATTCCTGATTTTACTGAAATACTATAGTAAGGATTTTACTCCATAGGGGATGCACAGCTCTTCCTAGCCATGCTTTGGAGTCAAATTCTAAAGCTACAATAATTCCAGTGGATCAGTATTTCCTTCATTTTTTTTATTACAGCATGTTTGCTAAATTTACAGCAAGCAGAAAATAAGCTGGGTCTTTAGTTATTTTGATCAAAACATTGATGTTTTAAAGGTAGTACACAATATTTGTTAAAAAGAACATATAAAAATACCTTTTTAGAAGCCTCTATAAGAAAGGAAATACAAAGTTTAATCCCACAACTTTCCTCTGCTAGAGCTGCACACTACTGCTACAGTTTTAAATAGACTTTATGCTGTTTTTAAACTATACATCCAGGAAAGTCTACAAAACTAAAGGAACGTGCATATAAATGATTGCATAGCAGAACATGAACAGTAACTGCAAACAGTAAAGGAAAAAGTTAGGAACACCATCAAACGTACCAAGGTTCCTAGAATCAATCCCCTAAGCACGTTCTGCCACTAACATTTAAAAGCCATTTGCATTTCTTGAAAGGCCCTGCTGAACACTAAAACCAAACCCTAAAACACTTCTCTAAAGATGATCTTTTTGAAATTTGTGTCTTCATTCACTACACAGACAGCATGGAACACCGGGTGTCTGATGCTGGCTTTTTAAGACAAAGAGAAAAAAAAAAAACAATGCCAAAAGCCATTTTCATAACAAAATATCTTGCCTTCTTCTAGAGAAATACTGTTAAGATTACACACTGGTTTTGTTATTTTTCACATTCGATTTACTAAATGCACTGCATTAGTGAAACTAAATAGCTAGAGATGCAGCTCTTGTTCATACCCAACTTTAAACACTTGTTCTTAAGTAAAATGAAATTTTGTAACCAAACCACTATCCATTCTGAGGAAGAAGTGATTCAGACTTGCTTGACTAAATATTTCTCAATGTATAAAAGCAAGCCTTTTTTACTCAAGAAGAGAGATGGCTACAGTTTTATATCTATGAATACACCAACTAACCACAGGAGTCATTGGCATAAAAGTTGAGTTCTTATATACTGTACACACACAACTTGAAACAATCTACTTGCATCTAACAGCAGGAAAACTAAGCAATTTCATGGTTAACTGCTCACTAAAATTTAGAATAGATACAAAAACTGCGTAAAATATACACACAACCTAATATTTAGATGCTCTGCCATTTTCTGGAATCTGAATTTAATTTTCCATTTCAAGGTCCCCCCCCTCAACCCTCACATATTTAGTATTAGCAGCCAGGCCAAGAGCAGTGAAGCCCCTTTCCTGACAAGTCACAACGCTGCACAGCCTCTGACCAGGCTTCCAAGACCAGCTGTGTCCCGTGCAGTACATGCAGCGCTAGCACCACCTCTCCAGATGGCAGAGAAATTTCAAAAATCTCCCTCCACAGAGCTCCATTTACGAACCTACTTGTCACTGGGCATGGAGAACACAGAAACCTGCCTCTGAACAGTGAAAACGTAAAATTACCAGTCTGCATTTCACAGCAGTCAGTGTTGCGCTACAGCTGTCCAGTTTTCCATTTCATCACAACGTTTAGCGTTAAAGAACATGTTAAACAGCTGGTTTAACTGTTCAGTACAAACTGGTATCAATTGCTATGGGCATGACATTTTGAACAGGACAAGGTTGCAAATTACGACCAATCAAGTCATCACCGATATCTAAGCATTCAAAATGCAAATCTTTACAAAAATATACATTGAGACACCACAATCAATTCAGAGCTGCCCATAACACGTAACCAAGAGGACATTCTCTCTCTCTCTCCCTCTGTCTCAGTGGCTGCTCCACACTGTTTTAAACTTTAACCATTGTTGTCTGCTACAGGGAAAACTGACGAAGAAAAGATTTTTTTAGCACTGTTGCAACATCATATTCCTGATAATTTAAGTAAACTGAACTGTGTGTAAATGAGTCTTACATGCCTAAAACCAACGTGGACTCACTATTAGTGGCCACTGGACTTGGGACTAGTCCAAGACCTTGATCTGGATTTTGACCTAGATCTAGAATGTGATCTTGACTGTGATTTGGATCTAGCTGGTTCTTTTTTTCTCGACTCCTTTTCATATCTTGAGCTGGACTTATAGTGTGTTTTAGAATCTGTTTTAGAAGTGCCTCTAGATTTGGTGTGAGATGCAGACCTAGACCGTGATTTAGCCTTCATTTCTTTCTTGGGCTGTGACTTGGATCGTGATCTTGAATTGGACTTAGATCTTGAAAAAGATCGATTGCGGTGTTTGAACCTATCAGAATAAAGGGGAGAGAGGAGATTTGAATGTAAAAACACTATTCTTAGACATCTAGTACATTAAAAATTGTTTACCATTTTTTTGCAGGAGAAACGTTTTTTTAAACCTACATTTAGGGAATACAATGGTCTACTTTTCAATGTAAAAAGCGTAAAAATTATTTTACCTATCATTGTCCGAATGGCTTCTGCTACGACGAGGTCTTCCAGTAGGTCTACTGCTAGAAAGGCACATCAGAAAAAGTAAACAGTGACAAATACCTATGTATGTATGCAAGTGATTAATTTTTTTTTTTTTAGCATGCATTTGCTTTTCAGTTATTTTTTGATGAACCACAAAAGCATTTCATTCAGTGTCTGATTTGATGCAGCATGCAAGCACATAACTTCCACAAGACAATACAAAAAAAGAAAACTCAAGATTTTTAACAATTAAACAGCCTATACTCAAGATTTTTAACAATTAAACAGCCTATGTGGTGCTTTTCTTCCAAGAGACTGGTGTGCTGTTGAAGCCAAACACACGCTACACTTACTTTCTGGGACTATATGATCTTCTATAGCTGTAATCAAAAGAGCGACTTCTAGATCGTCTCCTTTCGTAACTCCGGCTCCTAGATCGCCTGTATCTGTCATAGTCATCGTAACGAGAAGAACTGTATAGGTTTCTCCCCTCCTTGGCTTTCATTTGATTTGGTGCTGGAAAAAACAACAACAATATTTAACATTGAAAGTTTTCTAAGTACCCTACTTCCCTTTTAGTGACAGCACTCCCGCTATCCACACATTTGACATTTAGTAGAGAACCTATTAGTGATTCTAGCAAAGGCGCTTATGAAAAGGACAGAGATTGCAGTAAGCCACTTGCATTTTGCTGCTTTAAATGCTGGACAAAAGCATTGTTGCCTTGTGAGTAATACTGTCCTAGAAAGAAAGCAAACAAACCCCCCCAGAAAACCCCCACACCACCAAAACAACCCAAAGGACGACAGAAAAAAACAGCACAAACAGTAACAACAGCGGAATGCTTCACAGAGCCAGAAACACAGAATTGTTTCTGTAATGCGATTTCAGGCCACCTGGAAAGAGTGACAGGCTGCCTGAAAAACTAAACCATGAGCAAAACGTCCCAGCATTCCTAAATGTACCTAAGCAGCTAACAGTGAATTAATTAAACACAGTACCACGCATTAAACCTGATCCACAGTCTTAATTATTAAAAGTCAACTTATACAGAAGCTGCAACTGATGAAGTCACACAGAGAGGTTTGATCCTACAAGGATCCCTCTCCCCTATATAACAACGCACTTCACCCTGTAACATTAATATTAAAATCATTAGATAGAACACAAATCAGAAGTCTTCTTTCTTAACAAAAAAAGCACAGATTTAAATGCACCACGCTGTACAGAGCGCTACCTGTACTGACAGCTACAATTTCCATGATTTAACGTCTCCTGCTAACAACACTAAAACAGACTAGCTAATTTTTTTGTTCAGAAACTCAAAAGAAATCCCAGTGTTTACATACAGGACAGATGCTTGCTGTGCAGAGCATCATTTCCATTGAGTTCAGTAAAAGTTAACTGTGCATGTTTCAAGTGCTACTTTGATAGTTTTAACTGAAAAATCTTTAAGGCACTTTTATTAACTAGCTGCACATGACTATTATAATTCTGCTCTATACCAGTAGGTAGCCATGTCTTATGCTCCTTGAAAGCATCTTCTCTTTAATATATCTGTATCTACCTATACTTATGAATACATTCGTAAGTAACAGAAAATACATAACAGTTATTTCTTCAGAAAACAAGACTTATTTTTCAAGTTGAAGTGAGATGCTTTGAAATTAATTTTCCTGAAACCAAATGAAAATGAAGATTTTACCTCAATCCTGGAAACCGGACCGCACTGGGAAACATCAACAAAGAATCAAGAACACACTTAACCACAATATAAACATTGCAATGCATTAAAATTGGGTTACTCATTTTGACAGGGAACATTTTTGAAAGTGTGTTCCTGAAAAAAAGAAAAAGCTTGACAGCTGCACAGATAGTTCTTAAGTACATTCAGCGAGTAGCAAGAATTAGATCATGGTGACTGTTACACTTAGCTAGCTGTTTTTAATTAGCCAGGATACATTAATAACGTGCCTTCAATACAAAATATCCTTTGATAAAAGGAAAAAACCCACAACCAGGTGCTATTTATATATCAGCAATAATGTATCATAACAATTAATAACAAGGGTAATGTCATCTGGCACTAAACATTATGGCTGAAGCCATGATCTGATGAAATACCCAGGGAGGCACTTACTCTTCCGATCGCCCTGTGCAAACTGGATTTCTATCTGCCGACCACAAATCCACTTTCGGTCCAAATTATGGAGAGCATCTTCAGCATCGCGGACATCTTCAAATGTGGCAGTGTTAAGGTACTTGAGAATTTGAGTAGCTTACAGATTCAGTATTGAGAAGAAATCAGTTATCTTCTAGTTTTACAGGCCGTTATTTCTGAATATTTTGTTCACAGCAGTAAGTACTGCAGTTTTTTTTTTTTTTTTTTTTTTAATTAACCACCAATTACCTGAGACTTCCTATAATAAAATTAAAAACTCACAATGCAGCCACGAACTTACCAATCAGCAAGCAATTGCTATGCAATATCCTAACTTTTCTTCTTCCACTCGTAAGGAAGAAAACTGCATCCTTCTCAAAAATGCATTATTTGCTCACGGTGATTCAACTTTCTGCACTATATTCACTTTACTGAAAATAAATCTTAGTTCTGAAGTTGCTAGGCACACAAACAATAGAAATCAATATTTATCTATTAATTTTAAAATTGGGATGATGCTTTCCTTTTTGCCCACTGGTTGTTTTACGTTTAAATGACATAATGCCAAGGAGATACATACAGACCTTCAACAGCCAGAGATAAAGGCATACACTGAAGCCCCTGCGCTCCAACGTTCAGGAACAGAATAATTACTAATTTTTATCTGTGAGACTGATTGCTACTTTAACTCACACACCTTCCGGCTATGGGGCAAAGAGCCAGATGCCTTTCTTCTCACAGTAACTCAGTTCAGCAGCAGCATCTACGCAGAAAACAAACTATCAAGTGGCAGGTATAAGTATCTCCATTACCAAAGAATGAATGCACTTTCATTCCAGACCACAGTTATGACAGCACTCACAATGTAACAGGTTTTGCCAATGGACTAAACCAGCATCATTCATCAAAATTACTGCTTACATGACAAACAGAAGAAAAACTGTTATTCTGTAGGATACATCAGGTATGACTCCTTTAAGCTTGGCCACCATTCAACTTCATCTTGACCTTTAACTCTTTAAGGGCTTGTCAGAAGGACTTGTCATGAGATGCTTGGCCAAAAATGACAGATGGCTTTATCTTTAACTTTGAAAAACAACCTTTTCCCCCTTTTGCAGATAAAGCGAAGCTTTGTCTCCCATTATGGCTTGTCCTTCTTCCAGCTTTTCTTTATTTTTTCTTTTCCCAAACTGTCCCTTCTCTTCAAGCCTGATCCTTAAGAGGTCTTTGGCTTGTCTACTTGCCTCAATTGTTGAACTCTACTCTAAAGGTTCTTTCATGCTTTCTCTTTGGGGTCGCCAATACTGTACAGCTTTACATTCTGAGGCAACAACAGAGGACAGTAAATTAGGGGACAATATTAAAGAAAGTTCACCTCATTTGTTATACAATCTGCTTTTGATCAAGTGATTCCAGTTCCCATTTGTTAAATTAACAATAAATACTAGCCACAGTTTGCTAAGTGCAAGTTTACTTACGTACCAGTTATAATAGAAACCTGGTAGACAATTCTGAGTCAGTGATAAATTTTCATTTCAATCGCATAATATCAATTTCAGTGACATAAGGCTTATATATTACTGGACTTAAGTTTTGCAAAAAGGTAAAGACAATTTGAGAAAAGTTAATCTTAAAAAAATAACGAGACACATATAAGACACTTATCAGAAACAACACAAAAGTAAACTGCTTTTTCATTTAGATATGTTACCTCTTACACAAACTTGAATTTCAAACTTCAACACCCCTCACTAATCAGCCATCTGAAGAAAGGATATTGAACATAAGCAAATCCTCTGGGACGACGAGTGTAGAAGTCAAGCGGAACGTATACATCAACTATAGGCCCATAACGACCAAACTCACGGCGCAAGTCTTCAGACCTAGAATATCACAAATATCTTACATGTCTTCCCACTATTTAAGGTATTAAAAAATAATTTTATATATATATATATATATATACATATATATACATATACATATATATATATATATATAAAATCTACAATCACTCATCTTTTTGGATGGTAGAAGATGCATGTAGCAAATAACGTTGGGGGAAGTGTATGAGCTGTTCATTGCTAAAGCAACGCGCCAGGCTGCCCAAGATCACCACCACGGTTCAGGATGCTTAGGATAACCTCGGTATTTTGAAATCAGTGCTCAGCACAACTCAGCAACATAAATGTAAACAGAGACAAGAAGTGACACACAGTAGCCAAGCCAGTTCAATGCAAAGGTGGGCAGAAAGTGAAAAAAGGAATCTAACAATTATTATACTAACCATTAACATTGATTTTACAAAGTGTAAACATGAGCTGTAACGTCCAAAGGAAAAGCACAAGAATAACTTTGTCACTCTTACTGACTTCTATGGAATAATCAATACTTACAACCACATCAAAGAACAAAGCCGGAGTGAGAAACCATTCATGCCTTTAGGTCAACTGTCCCAAAAATGTGGCTTTAGAGCAGAAGACAAAACTGTTCAACAAGTTTGTGACAGCACTTGAAATAAGTGCTGTCTCCTCAACAGAGGACCATCTGTACTCATATCTTCTGGTGTCATTTTAGGACAATAGGGAAACATTCACATCACATAAACACAATATTACATCAAGGAGTTACTGATGCTTATTTCTCTTTCACATTTGTTGGAAAAATAACTACACTGTACATTATCAATGACAGCAGAAGGTAGCTGTAACAACCAGCTTCAAGGTCTCACGATGGAACCATCTCTAACAGGAATGAGCCATGTAACAGTAAGCTTACACTGAAAGCCTAAAAGGGAGCACTGTTAGTTAAAAAAAGAAGTTTGAAAACGAGCCTTCTTCCATGACTTCTAGAAGAAAATAATCTGCAGGCAAAGAAGAAAGAAAAGCCGTGCAAGAAGAATCACTTTTAATCTGAAATTACTTATATTCTTTATGGTCATGAGGTTCCTAATTCATTCAGCCATGCCTACACCACTGTTAACTGAACACCTTTTGTGCAACCTTCTGGGCAGCAGGTCTGAGAGCTCAGGCTTGTGATTTACACAGCCAGACCTCGCAACGACTGCCACACCAACCCCACGATCACCAACAGCAGAACCGCCGCGCCGCAGAAACGGAACGGAGAACGCCAATACTCCGACAGCCACGTGCAATGGATTCCTTTTAATTCTTTTCGCTCATTGCGAAGATCTCTCCCCTAAGCCCCTGCACGTACGTTTACGTTTTGCTACAACATAATTATTACGGAGAAAAACGTTTTCCGTCTCTCCCCTCCCACTGAGCGCCACCGGAGGCCGCAGCCCGTAACAACCAGCGTGAACGAGCGGGCGGCAACTACCGCAGTAACGGAACGAAGCGCGCGGAATTTCGGGGACGTCCATAACGAAGGCACCGCTACGCCTTCGGGCAGCACCGCCCATTTAAGTCCAGACCGCAAAGCCTGGCGGCTGCCGGCGTCCCCCCTCCCCCATCCCCGGGTAGCGGCGCTCCGCGGGGCGGCCGAGCTTTGTTCTCAGCAAGGCCCTGGGAAGCGATCAGCGCGAGGTGGAGGAGAAGAGGGCGGCGCCGCGGGGAGGCGGTGGGCGGCCCGGTCCCGCACGGCCTGGCGAGCCCGCGAAAGCCTGCGCAGCCCCCGCGCCGCGCTGGCGCCTGCTCCGACTCACCGGGTGTCGTCGGCCACGTTCCGCACGAAGAGCGAAGTGTTGGGAGGGCGCAGGTAGCGCGACATGGCGGCGGCACGAGGGGCGGCGAGCGGCGGGGCCCGGGCGCGGTGGGAGCCGAGGCTGAGGCGACCCTCCAAGCAGCACGCAGCGCCACCGCCGCCCGCCCGCCGCCTCTCGCGAGACTTCTCGCAGGGCTTCCGGCGAGAACTCCGCGCGAAAAAGAACGCGCGCAGAAAGGAGCCACGGGCGCCAAAACCCGCGCAGCCCTTACTGCGCGTGCGGCTTCGACTCACTCATGCGCAGAATGCGACCACCAGACGCTCGCGGCCCATGCAGGAGAGGACCCCTCCCACTTGCAGGCTCCGCGCATACGCTCTGAACCTCTCCAGGAAGGACTGTATTTTCCCGCCCCAAGATGGAGGAGCGCGCGCTTCGCTTCTTGTTCGCTGTTGAAGTGGCAGCGGGTGGGGCGCCGTAGGGGGCCGTGCGGGGGGCCCTGCGCGGAGGCGAGCGGCCGTTTTTCAGTTAAGTCGTTTGTTTGACGAGAACAATAAAGCAGGTAGTTCTGTGGCTGACATTTAATGGTCGTTGTGCCGATAAACTCATTCTGTGGCTGAATTCGTTACCTCAGGCAGCATGAAGGCTGTGTTGCGTCCTGCTGTGGTGAGGGGTTTTCTGACCCACAGACACAAAAGGAACAGCCCCTGCCTTTCCCTGCTCGCCACGGGCTCCGTGTGTCAGCACGTTAAGGGGCTGCGTTTGTACGCGAGCTGTAAAAGAACAGGAACACGAGCCAGGAGAGCGTTAGAGACCAGAGTTATGTGGGAGTGCGTGACACAAAACATCTGTGGTAAAACGGGGAAAATTCCTATTGCAGACACATAAGCAGTGAAACCAGCGAAGGGTGCAGAGTGTTGAAGGGTAGGAACTCCTGCTGCAAGAGTTACCCCTTTAGAGCTTTTAGAATTGCAAATGAGCAGTTTCAACAAGATCCAAATAGTACTAACATCAAGATTCAAATGAAGCCCTCTGCAGAAGGCGGCTGCGTGGATGGGGATCGGTACCACCGGCCAGCAATAGGATAAAGCTCACAACTCGGCCGCAGTCATCAGGTTTGGGTGGCTTTGCCAACAGAAACGTGCTGAGGATTTTCCCACATCCTTGGTGTCCCAAGGCAGAAGAGTGTTGGATTGACAGGATGGGCACAGTTGCTGGAAATGTGACGTCCTGAAAACTGTGAAGAATTTAATAATTTTTTGGTGCCTTCAAATTAAAATGACATCACTTTATATTCCATATATGAATGAATATGCTTTAGTATGTGATATTTTCAACATGTGATGTATCTGCAGTCTGGAGTGCAGTGCCCCTTTCGATTCTGGCAGTCCTGTACTGAGCCTGAACTTTGGAGAGGAGTTCAAATAGGAAGAGCATCTTTTCAAGTGTGCAGGGAATGTCTGAATAGTCCATGAACACCACTGAGACCTTTATTTTAAAGGTGTTTATTTTAAAAAGAAACACACATATGTGTGTTTTGCTTTAACGTCAACCCTATCTTATGTCAAATCAAAAGCAAAGAATTACGGTTTTGTAACTTTGGAAGCGCTCTGTCCAGTGATCTGATTTAAAGTCATTCAGAAATCAAGCTGGCATATCTCTTATTTTGTATCCTACAACTTACTAACAGAGCATTTGATCATTGAAGATTTTCACTGTTCTGCAGGCATGCTGTTGGAAAACAGTTGTGTTGTCATGTGTCACTGTGTGGTTAGCAGCAGTTACACAGCAGTTTCCAGACAGAAATTTGCCTAACTCTTACATGGCCTCCCGCAGTCCTGATGCTTTAAAAGTCTTCCTGAGTTTATCAGCGTCTTGGCTTCCATGCTGTTTTTAGTTATGTTAATTCACATGGAATTTAAGGTCAGGAAAAGGGTGCACAGAATCACAGAATTGTAGGGGTTGGAAGGGACCTCCAGAGATCATCGAGTCCAACCCCCCTGCCAAAGCAGAGCAAACACTGACGATGCAGAGGGATCCAGGTAGGCTGGCTCGAGGGGCCACTCTGTAATGACTGTTAAATACTTCACAGCGTTTAGGATGTTACTGCTGTTCTCACTGCAGTCCCAGTGTGGGTCAACTAAACAAGTATCTATTCATTTTTTTGCTGAATAGCATAGAGAGAAAAGAATTTCCAGTAGAACATGGCACTTTCCTATAAAAAGCGGTTAACGTTGAATATGTTTATTAATCTGGTAAGGAAGTGAGAAACATATCAGCTTCTATCCCTTCTCAATGATCACTATGGTAAATCAGCATTTTTCAACTATGTTCAGCTTTGGTTGTCTGAGAGGGAGACCTCAGTTGTTGTGGGTATAGAAGAGATCTGTAAGCATACTTGGGGAAAACAGAATCTTACAGTAACGGGAAGTGATTTTATGTATAAAAGTAGAAGTCATCATTATTTTTTGTACTATACAGCAATAGCAAAGATGGACACACCTTATGGAAAGTGCACTTTATTTTAAGTATGTAAAGATGTCACAAAGAAGGTGATCTGTCTTTAAACTCTCTTGCTTCTTCTGACAAGTGTAACTCCACCAAAAGTAAGAGTCTGTAGATGACAAATACAGCTTGTTTTTCATTTGGACTTCAGGATAGCTATTAATAGTTAAGTCATTAGAAGTTTCTGTAATTCATTTATAAATCCAGATTATCACAGAAGAACATTCTACAGAGTTTAGTTACAGAAATTACAATGCCTGCCTAAATATATGTGAAAAATGTTCATATCAAAGAATGTTTCTGGTTGCTTTCTTTCTTTTCTCTTTTTTTTAAACAAAACCGGTTCTGAAGAGGGGTAATCTAAATATAAATGCCATTATCAGCTGCATTTAATCACTGTTTTAAGGAGCATAAAGATATACTTCCCGTAGTGGAAATACATCATCCCAAATAGTAAGGGGTTCTTTTGCATAGTGTTTTTCACTTTTTTTTTTTGTTTTCCTATGCAGTGCTCAACAGCTAAAGCCATTCACACTTCAGTGCTTAGAACTGTCCCCAGCATAATAATTAATAAACACTTGTTAAGAAAGATGCATTAAATGTACAAGCGTTGTTTAAAAGAGAGTCATTCAGGGCACCCAGTTTTTATAACAGGAATAATAAGGGACACTGGTGTTTTCCACTGCGATTAGTCTGAAATACTAAAATTCTGAGTTTGCAGATTTACACATCTGTTAAGAGCTCTGCAAGCAATGTAGTCATTTGGGGGCCAGTATTCTTTGAACATATTGACCCTACACGAAGAGCTGATCAACAGAGAACGTGTTTTCATTCAGCATTTAATAAACCATAGTTTTCCATCACTTACCTCTACCATTTCATTTCCTTTAACTTCTTGTTCATGTGAGAATTTTTCTGATTTGCACACAAGCTTCCCATTTACCAACTGCACAGTGCACTGTTAAAGCAGATTGAAAACAGAAAACAGTGGAGATTTTGAAATTCAGTTAGGAGATGGATAGGAAGTGACTCTAGCATAGATAGGAAATAAATGCAGGTCACACCGATGCTTTGTAATTGCATCTGTTGATTGAAGCAGGAGTATTTTAATAAGAGTTTTAGAATAATAATTTCTGTTGGTCAAAATGCACGCGTTTGCTCTATTTATTTATTTATTTATTTACTTTTGCTAACGGAAATGGTAAAAACAAATCTCATTGCAGAACAGAAAGTGAAGTATAAGGGTGAGCGGAGAAATTCACCTGTTTCTGAAATACATTACCTTTAGCTTTTTGCCATCCATAGTAGTAATGTCAGCCTCTTTTCCAAGTGTAAAGGAGTTAGTCACACTTTGCTTGGGTGTTTTTGATGTCACGACAAAGTCATCTCCTTTTTGTTGTATTTCAACAATGGGCTTAATATCTCGAGCCACTTTGATAAGGTCTTCTGGCAGTGCTGTGAAGAAAGACAGGAAAGGACTTCTATTATGGATTTGTGTATTTGTATGAAATAGCAAATCAGGGTGCAGAATGTACAAACCAATAACAGAAAATAGTCTGTGAGGTTGAAGGCAAATGCTGTTTTGGGTTCCTCACTTCTCTATGGACATAGCATTCCGTTCCACGTAGTCTGTGTAGATTTTGGCACTATAATGACCTTAACGTACTTTTTCAGTGCGTCTTTAGCATGACTTGAAAGTACCACCTTTAGCAGTAAGGGGTTGGTGTAGGCATCGCGCTGCAGGACTGGGCTTTTCAACTATAACTGAGTTTTACTTCTACTGAGTATCTATTACATGCTTTAAAACACTCAAGTGTGAATGTTTTGCCATGATTGTCAAGAAGGTAAGTGCATTTTTATTTACGTGGTACCCATGAAATCATAACCACCAAGCTGATTCTTTACAGATTACTGAGTAGCTGTCACATACATTAATCAGTAGCGCTATCGAAAGTGCCCCTCTGCTAAAGAGCACTGAAAATCTGCAAGCCATTAACAAATTGGTTACAGTTAAATGTATTTATAACATCATGTGTTAACCAAAATAAGACACTTTATTACTTGTACTTATTCTTTCCTAAGGAACTTGTCATCGTTTCTTTTCTTTTTCAAATCAGACATAATAGACTTACCTGATGAGTAGTTTATCACACAAACAAAAGAAAAAAACAATGTAGAAATACTATAATAAAAGATGTCTGCAAAGCACGTGTCACAAACAGAGCAAATTATTTAACTTAACACTCACCAAGAGCTTTCAGAAATTCCTCATAGTTCTCTTGAGCATAGACCTGCCAGGTGCCGCTGAATGCCATTGTGGATGATAAGGCGCAATGTGAGGGCAGTGCTGCTAGCAGACAGTCAGAGCTCTGGCTGGTCCTCCGGGTGCTATTTATAGAAAGGGTGACACCAGCCCAGACTGCGAGATGATCAGCTAATTATTAACAGCGAAGTAACACTTATTAATCTCATATTTGCTCTCAATGATCATAACCTCTCGTTCATTCTGCTTTCTACAGAGTCCTACCTTGACCAAATCTTTTGGGATGTTCTGTTTATTGGTGGGTCACTGAACTCAGATAATTATTCATAATAGTTGCAAAGTGTTGCCTTGATTAATTAGTTTTATTTTTGTGTACAACTTCTATTTGTAATATGTTTTTTATTTCTTCAGATACAATAGCATAATTTAGATGTGAGATGATTACTGTCATGTGATAGGACAGCGTATAGTGCATGCGCTATGAGCAGTTGGAACTTAAGTGGTGGAAATAAAGCCACAGATGCTTCTTCCGGAATTGTGGTACTCCAGTTTCTTGATAGCAGAGAAAATCATTCTGGAGCAGTCAGTTTTGATTTCATCCAGTAGATGTCAGTAAAGTGTATCTAAATCTGTATTAAATGTAGGGTTGTTTGTTTTTTTTCCAATAGCCACTGTACACAGGAACATTAAAGGTAAAATTAAATACAAAACATTACTTGGAGACCAAAATTAAAGAAGTAAATGGAATGCGTGAATTATTTTTCTTCTCGCCAATTACACCAAGAATTCCTCACCCAGAGATAGTGAGTGATATTCCTTGTTGTCCTTGCAAGAATGATTGTTGATTTTGGAAGACATTGACTAGATTACGTATCTTGCAGTTATATTGCTTAATTCAAATAGAGCCCATATCCCAGGGGTTGCCGACCTTCCTAAGTTAACTTTTATTACTCCATACCAATCAGTAATTCTTTCATTTCAACAGGAAAAACAATGCTGAACTTTTTCCTACAATTTCACAGTTATTTTTAGTATGTAATTTTAAAGAAAATGCAGACAAAGAGCTAGATGCCTGAAGTGAAGGAAATGTTCATGCTGAAGCCTATTTCTCTTCTGGTTTTTATTAGAAAGGAGCATGCAAGGCTCTGGGCTGAGAAAACTTGTGCTCTAGTTCTGATTAATCAACCTTATGGTTTCAAGACCACATTTCGTTTATACATGCTGTCATCTGTTTTGTTGTGTTTTCAGAATCCTGATTTTTTTTTTAAATTCATATGCATAAACAAATCTCTTTCTCCTAGCAGCGCTCAGACCAGAACAGTTAGTGGGAGGTCAATAGATGGCTCGCTTCTCATGACTTTGGGAAATTCCTTATTACTGCAAACTATCCATATACCAGCAAGTGTAACATACTTTCTTCAAGGACTCCTCATGTACGTAACATAGTCTCTGGCTATAAAAAAAAAACAACAAAACCTCATCATTGGTAAAATAGTCCTAGCAACTTGCTGTAGTTAGTCATGCTTGCGCAGGATTTGGACAAGTTGATCTCCAGAAGTCCTTTCCAAACTGAGCAATAGTGTGAAATCAAAGAGTTAGATAAAGCTTTTCTAGTAATCTTTTCATTGTCCTCTAAAGAGCACTGTTGTCTCTGGGAAGCTAAACTTGACACTAAGAAACCAAAACAGAAATGCCACACACCTGAGATGGAATTCACATGTTTACAGTGTTTACAGAGCTACTTTGCAATACCAGTCTAAATGCTTTTCTGTATTAGTTTTTTTTAATTGTGAATATATATATTCTAAATCAAGATGCACAATTTTTCTAATTTCATTTACACAGAATAATACCTTGTTGTCTGAGTGGCAGGGAAGAGGTCCTGGTATTGGATAACACTGTATGTGTGTGTGGGGTGTCGCTCACATGACTGCAAAGCCTGGGTGCTTATACTGGAGTTATTCTAGGATGTGATAATCTGCCTTACCATAGAGCAATGTGAACAGTGCCTTCCATCTCTGTGGACTTTCACTCTGCCCTCTTGTGTAACAATTACAGCACACCAGTCCAGAGGGAAGCTGTCCGCGTTCTTCTGCAAAGCTCCAAGCCTTGGGAGTATCGCTGCCTTGTTTTCGTCCCATTCGATTCATGTTTGTGAAGGTCAACACTTTGGAGTCCCAGTTCACGTGGTACTTAGAAAACTTCTGACTAATTTCAAAATGAATGTACTTGACAACAGTGGTGTCACTCTTTGTAAGTTTAATAACATAGACGTAAGCGTTTCTCAGCTACAAGATAATAAGTAACATACAAGAATTTAATACGAAAAAAAGCCCCTATACTAATAGCTTGGTTCTCACGTACCCTCTGGTATTTCCTACACAACATGTTTTTACAGGGAAGCAGTTTCTCTGTAAAGAGAGCATGAGAGTGAGTACATGTGCACACATACACTTACAGAATCACAGAATGGCCAGGGTTGGAAAGGACCTTAAGGATCATGAATTTCCAACCCCCTGTCACATGCAGGACCACCAACCTCCACATTTAATACTAGACCAGGCTGCCCAGGGCCCCATCCAACCTGGCCTTGAACACCTCCAGGGACGGGGCATCCACAGCCTCTCTGGGCAGCTGCTCCAGCACCTCACCACTCTCACAGTAAAGAACTTAAGAATTACTTACAAATGAGAATTGTTTTCTAGCAACCAAAAAGTGAAAATACTGCAACATTACTGAAACAAAAATAAAGGAATGAGCCTAAATTTTAGGGTGGAGACACTCAAAAGGAACCAAAGGGGTTAAATTCCTTCTAAATTCACTGAGATATAGTTGCCTGGTTCATTTAGGCTTTCTTGTTATGGTCTCACTTGGGTCTTCCTTTTCTTCCATTCCAATGGGTATCTCTCCACGCTTGTAGACACTGACAGTCACCTGCCCTGTTTCAGAGCCATATTTGTTCTTAACGTAGATGCTGTATTTTCCCGTATCTTCATTGCAGACTTTCTCTATCGTAATCGTGACAACTGTCCCCTTCACATCCATTCTGTACCGATCTTTAAAGATGATCATTTTCTCATTTTTGAACCAAGTGATTTCTGGGTAAGGATCTCCAGAGATACAGCAAGTTAAACAAAGGGTCTGTTGTAAAACAAATAGTAGAGATAGATTATGAAGACACAAATGAGCAAGGAAATTCAGATGATGTGATGATGTTAATAATTAAAAAAAAAATAAAATCAAGATCAGTAAAAATCCACAGGAGCTTCTTACCTATAATCTCTCTGTTCTAAACAGATTAGAACAGATTAACTTCATCAAATAGCGCACATACTTTTTCTTAGGTCTGTGTTACTTAAAATGAGAGTGACAGTTCCTGAAAGGCATGCGTTATTTGGTTATTCTTGTTACTTTGCAGTTACGTTGAACTTGCTGTCTAATCATGGATCCATGTAAATAGCGGTGCTTATTTTAATATTAATAATATTTCTTGCTGCTTCTGGGAAACTAGAAAATTCTTACAATAGCGACTGAGTCACTTCCACATCCTTGGTAGTACAATGCCAGAAATGACAGTGAGCATTTAAAACCAAGAGTTTTCTCCCCAGCAGTCATTTCCCTACATCTGTGCAAGGTCCAGTTATCCGAGTGATTACGGTCCAGTTATCCGAGTGATTACTCAACATTACCTTATCCTCCATGATGGTGGCTACATCTGGCAGACCTTGAACAACTCTGGCACGACCTGGGAATGAGCAAATATGACCCCTCAGTTTTACTTATCAATGTACCACTTGGTTTTGTTTGGCAGAAGAAGTTCATTTACTTACACTTTTCTGCAATTGCTGCTTCTCTGAAAGTGAAGAGACAAAGACAAAATTAATGATTTATTAGGTATGGTACCGAACACAACACTCAAAATAGATCAATTTGGCTGTAAAAATATTTAGGCAGGAACTTACTTTAGCCTTCTGTGCTCAGCCAGAGCATCTTCAAAGGCTGCAAATAAATGAAATGGTTTTAGGGAACGTTGCTGTTTATTTCTTTTGATATAGTAGGTTTAATATAACGCATCAATGCTGGAATTGCAGGTATTTGTGCACAAATCTATGCGTTATTAACTCTCATCTTGGCGTGAGCATCTGCCATAAGGAAATCTGAATCTATTTATAAACTGTAAAGGTGTATAAAATAGAGCCTCGTACTTCCTTTCCTCAGGAGGAAAAAATCTTTTGAACAGTTTGGATAAGTCTTTATAAACTTGAAGCCATGTTGTTTCCAGGATGTCCCCCATAAGCTCTGTCAGCCTCCAGGACCCAGACACATCCTGGGAGCAGCTGTCCTCCCACGTCCCTCCCCAGGAGTGCCTTATGCTCAGCAGTGCTCCCTAAAGGCTTCTGTCCTTTCCACTGATCCCTTCTCCTCCCTTTGGCTTTGTTGGGCACTTGAATGTTCTTAGCCCAGTTTAGTAGCATGCTGTCACAGAACCATAGCTCCAACTCAAATGAAAGAGAAGCAGCGCTGCCAGAGATCTGAAGGAATCTTGGAAAGCAGCTCAGGGAGATCTAATTCCTGCGATGCAGGTGTTGATTCAGCTTACCTTGCCCAGACAAGTCAGTTGACAGCTTGTGAGAGTCATTCCCATCAAATAACTCCAGGATGTACTTTCCTTTATCTGTATCTGTTGGGTTCAGTATGTGGAGCCAGATCTGATTCATTGTGCTCCCAGCTTTCAGTTTGTCACGAATTTCCAGTCGCTTCTCCCTAAATAAACAAATTCTTTAATTTCAATACAGTTTAGTAGACCTACATGCTTTCTGTTAGACCTCTACCTGTTAGAACAACAGAGTGGGAGTCAGGACCTTGACCATCATTTTGTAAAGGGTTACGTACTCAGTCACTTGAATATCTCACTGGGCATCCATGCTTTCAGGTAGCTTGCTAAAGCTCTCAGGTTCTACAAAATACCTCATAGTTTTTATTTGGGAGATTAAATAAGAATTAGACACACTAGCACAGACTGCCCAGATAGGTGGTGGAGCCACCGTCCCTGGAGGTGTTCAGGAGTAGATGCAGTACTTCAGGACACGGGCAGTATTGGCGGTAGGTAGACAGCTGGAAAAGATTTCTAAAGATAATCCAGTCCAACTCTAATGATCCTATGATATGCATTTAGTCCTTAAACACCATTAAAACTGGCCTCCTTCCATGTGTCTGTAGGATGCGCGTAATGAAACAGTATTTCTCTATTTTACCAAGTTGTTATGAGACTAAATGAGCTCACGTTTGGAAAGAGTCTTGTAATGTTTGGGAGCTGTGTTATTCAGAGTGGGGCAACACGGTGGTTTGTGGAAGCATAAAAATAGTAGAAATAAAGAGCTTGAAACAAGAAAACAACAGCTTCCTTTCCTGTTTGTAACCAAAGTTACTATTCCAGTTAAGATGACCAGTTATTTGTATCTCAGCACCGCCAGAATATTTGTAACATGATCGTTCATTTTGGAATTCCCAGATGTGTTTCAGAATTCATAGAGAATCATGATTTTCAGCCCTGACTCTGAAAAATCTCCCATTGCCTTAAAAAACTGTGGTCTGAGGCTTAAGATACCCAGTTCTTGTGATAAACAATTTCAAGCAACAGTACCCTCAGAACCCTTCCCAGTGCCTTTAGGGGACTCACTTGTGAAACCAGGTTGTTTTCATGTAGTCTGTGTAGTACTTCACATCTGTGTAGATTTTGATGCCTTCGTCAGTAGGCTGAATTTTCAGAGGTGTAGCAGAAAGAGCTGATGGTGTAATTGAAAGACTGGAATTGAAGAGGGAATCCAAAAACATCCGTGCAATCTTACTTGTTATGCAAAGAAAATCCCAAGCAACCTATTGACATTTATCTCTGGAGAACGCGACTGGTTGGATGTTGGATGGTATTCTGCCTCTGCAAGGCTCCTCTTTTAGCCAGCAGAGAGCAAAAAAATGACATCATATCTTGTGGAGACCTATAGTAGGCATCTCACAGACAGAAAAAGCACAACCAAATTCACATAATGAAGGACGTGACAAGGAAAAGGCTGCTGGCACGTGCAGATCATGGAAATAATTTGTAAGTGCACAGGGCTTTGTGTCCCTGGACACATTTACTGACCGCCCTTTCTGGCAGTTTAAAGGTGCTTCTACTGCCAAAGTAATATTAAAAGGGCAGTATGTTGTACTTGAGACGGTACACACTGACTCTAGATCCAGGGGCAGCTCCCGTCCTGTTTGCTCTTATCCTGGCACCCCACCCCCTTCCCCTGCTGTTGTCACCGAGGAGAAAAGGACATACCACTGATCCTACACAGCTCCTTGAGAAGGTCTTCAAAGGCTGCAAAGATATAATGATATCTAAGTACTTATAAATACAGTACAGTGAGCAAATCACATCTCATCTGGCAACTTAATTTTCTTATGTGTGTAATATATCAGTTATTCATTGTCTTTTTCTGCTGTAAATCATGCTGGATATGGAATTTGCGCCACAGATTTATTTTAATATGCTGGTAGATACATTTCTTACTACATTTAGATGTTCCTGTCTTTGTTAGCACTCAGTTTGTAATTAAGGCAGGAAGCTGAAATAATATGGCATTTCTTTTGTGCTTTGTGTTGTCTTTAACTGATATTCTGTGGTTGTGGTTCAGATGTGAGTTTTGATCCACAGGTGGAGCTGCAGAATGGAAACAGAATTTTGTTTTCTGAGTGGTTTGGACTGGCTGAAGTTCCAGGGCTGAGAATTTGTTTGTGGATTATCAAATGAATCCTGGCATGGATAGATAAAAAGAGTAGGGATTGTACACAAAGCCCTCTGAAAACAATCTGTTCACTGGGTTTTGTATAACTTTTGAAGAGTAAGAGATTTTTTTTAAAAAACAGTTTATTTTATGACCCCAGTCTGACATTAAATGCTTTTGATTTTTAAAATGATCACCATGTATATACATATGTATATAAAAACTAAGTTCTCCTACTTCCTTTTATGAGATCAAGTTGGGTGTAGTCCTCTCCTCGGTCATCCGAAACAACTGCTTTGTATTGACCCTCATCTGCTTTGGTTATCTGGCAAATATATATCCAAATATATAACGTTAAACTAAACATAAATAAATAATTACAACCCTCAACAAAATTTTCACATGCCCTTGAAACAGGACACAAAAAAAGGCAGAGAGCTGAGGTTTTATTTCTTCTTCCAGTTTGTCTCTAGAACATGACCTGACCATGACAGGTTGCCTGAACCTGAAGAGCCCACACTTTCCTTTTTAGCCCCTGTTAAAAACCATCTCGTTTCTAATTCATCAGGCTATAATGTTAATTCTTCTTTCATTTAGTTGGCATCACCCAAAACACATGCAGACTGTTAAGCACAAGGTCAATAATTATTTTTTGCAAGTTAGTGTGGTCACCAAAGCCAACAAATTGCTTTTCTGTTTTCACCTTTTTAATATGGAGAGTTCCTATCCCAGTCCTTGGGTCGAACACACCACCTGTTCGGGCTTTCTTATTGAAGAACCACTGGAAGCTGGTGTCCTTTCTCAGATTTGTTGCCTGTTTAAAGTCAAGACTTAGAAGTCGGGGTCCCCAAAACATCTGGTTTTATAAATGCAGAGATGTTTTTTTAATGTGAAGCATCACAACAGTCCTACAGGATTGCTGTAGAATACTGTGAGCTTCCCTCTCTGTTAAAAAGTCTGTTTGAGTTCTGCTGTCTCTTACCCTTCATCAGTCTGCAAATAACCATTGGAATGAGCATTGTTCATTCCCAGACCTTAAAATGCACATCTGAAATGTAACGCTAAAGGAATTCAGACTGCGAAGTTGCACTGATGTACATACCTTGCAGGTAAGGAGCACTTCACAGTTCTCGGTAACCTTCCATTTCAAATTCTCTACAAAATACGGCCCTATAAAAGAAAATAAATATTTTGCCGTGCAGCTCCACAGCTTAAAAATGATCCACTGGGATGCCCCCATCTCATGCTGAGCCCCAGCAGTGCTGCCTAGGAGGGGCAGTCATGCACCAGACATGCACCAGACACACAGTTTACATCACAAAGCCAGCAGTAACTGTGTGATGTCCTAAGGCAACAGATCTTGTATTCACTGAGGAATCAGATCTTAAAATGTCAGTGAACTAATCAACAGAAATAATACATGTAGTAAAGTTGATATGAGCATTTAAAGCATTTGATGAAATGCCTTTGCTCAGGTTTTGCCATCCTTTTGGCACAGTCCTGGTAAGTCATTAATCTTCTGCTTATCTTACCCTGCTTTTTCTTCCATTCCCTTCGTTTTGCATCAGCTTCCTTTGCAACTTTATCAAAACCTGTAGGAGCAGTAATCAAAGTCAAAACAACAACAACAGTTTCTTCATATAATGCTGTAGAGATCGTGGTTACAGAAGGCTTTCTCTTAAAAGCTGTAACATATGTCTATAAGGCATTTCTAATGCCCCACTGAGAACCTTAACTTATTAACAGTATGTAATATTACTGTCATGAAAATAGAAGTGTCATTGAAGACTTGAGCATTATACATTTAAGAAATGAAACAGGAGCTTGGCCTTGCAAAAACACAGGCTGGAAACCCTGAAAATAAAATGTTTTAAAAGTAAGAAACAAAATAGGGCAGCGAGCATAAAATTTATCTCAGTTTTAGACAACTGTTTTTCATCATCATCAGTAAATAAAAATGATCACTGACAGTTTACAAGTCAAACTTATTTTGTACTCTGAAATTACCACGTGCCAAATTGCTCTATAAAGACACTTTATTCTCCCCACTGCTTTTTGAGAGAGTCCAGTAACGTGACATTTGTGTGGGTAACTTCTGTTCACAGAACATGGAAGCATTGGAAGGTCATTTAAAACGGTCAAACTGTTCACAGGAACTAAAAATAGGGATAGATATTGTATAGGAAGTATTTTAGTGCTAAACTTCTTGCTTTCTAATTTTAAATAGTTAAAGAGCCTCTCTGTAGTAGCACATACACCCTATGTGTTTCACCCAGTGTGATTTATGTTAGCCTTTTCATGTTGCTTGGACTCATCTTCCGGTAAAATTGACACTGGTCTCCTTGCTGCATTCAGTTTGATGCAATTAATCAGCTGTTAAATACTCTGAATTTTCAACCTGATCCTGTGCTGAGATAAATACGTACAAATCATAATTCTTGTCAGTCTGTTTACTGCCAAGATACAGAGTGTTCAACACAGCAAGATGATATGTGAAACATTGGGAAACAGCAACGAAAGATTCCCTTGGATATTTTCCTCCAGTAGATCTTTTTTATTATCAGAGACCCTATTTATAACATCAGAATCTCCAGTTTATGTTGAAGAGAAGAGGAATTCAGATTATTTCTTACATGATTCATGGACTTAGTGGGCAGTATTGGTGGAAACTGTATGGTTGGACTAGATGATCTTAGAGATCTTTGTTAACGTTAACAATTCTATGACTTTAATGTGTGCTAAAATTTGCTCTCCACGTTCTCAGTGTCAGTGCAGTCAGTGCAACTGCCAGAAGTCCCTGGAGTCCTTACATGCCTAGAAAAATTTCCACTCAGCATGACAGCCTGTATTCAGTACTGAATTTTCACTTACTTTCATCCAGAAGAACAAGGGTGAATTGATTTTTAGCTTTTCCGTCCTGCAGCCGGGCTGTGTACACTCCTTTATCGTCATCACAGAAGTTCTGGATTATCAGTTCAACCAGACCTTTTTCTTTGACGAAGTTTATTTTATGTGTCTGCATAAAACAAAGCAAATATAATAAATTCAATGGTTTTCAAAACTAGATTCCAGCACTGCGTCTTCTACAACACTCAGATATGAGACAACCCTTCTGCGTGTGCATCCTCATCCATTTCCCCCATCTCACGGGTATGAAGAACCAATGCATTCTGATATTCTGTATCCTGAGATTCATCTGCTGTTTCTTTATGTGGTTGGGTATAATAGAACTGCACAGAGCAAAACTTTCCTCCAGGACAACTTCTGTTACAACCACATAACACAATGTCTTCTTTCTTGTTGTGTCTTACAGACTTCTCAGATTACCAGGATCTCTGTGATTTTTAGTATAATGAAAGCAGTGCACGTAATTACATATCTGGGGCATGTAACTGCATGTTCGGGCAATGGTAAATAATTCTGCCACCCTCTGACACCATGCAAGCACTACTGAATCCCTTATACACACACACCCCGAAACCTGCCTAATGCTCACATGCGAATACAATCATTATGCCTTACCGCCTTGTTTGCTTTAGGCACATAATATCATTACAAAGAGCTTGGAAAACACTTTGTAACCGTGCATTTCTGTGTCAGTTCAACAGTGCAGAAAATATAGTTCTAAGAATGGACAAGATCTACGGAAGTTTTACTGCATAGTGCTTTAAAAGAGAAAAATAACATCAACAACAAAAGTCAACAACAAAAAAACCCCAAAACATTGCAATGAAATTCTGAAGTTCTTTGCACACTCCTATCCCTTTTTTAATCCCTGCTTTTTATTTGCTTGGTAGTTGTTGTTGTTTTTTTTCCCTACTTTTAATTTTTTGTGTGTGTGTGTTTTTTCCCCCACCCTCATTTCCTTTCCTTTTCCCCTTTCCTTTTTTCTTTCCCCTTTTCCTTCTGCTTTCCCTTTCCATTTCTCTTCTCCGTTTTTGGCCTGACGTTAGATCTGGACAGCTTGAGAATCAGACAGTTGGCTTTCTGTTTATGCGCAGTGTGAAACCAAGTCCCAGAGCCTCCCAAAGACGCCTGATGAAAATTTAGAAAATGTGGCATGTGCCCAGTTGGTCTGTATCCCTGTTCAGGAAGGGGAAAGTAAGTCAGAATTAAAAATACGAGAACGTACTGGTGTGCTTGTAAGCTCCTTCTCATTGAAGATTAAATGCAGCTCTGCATTTGGTGACAGCTTTTCAACCTCCAGCCACAGCCGCACTTCTCCTTTCTCCAGAACATCAACATTCCATCCAGATATCAGCTTTATTACTAGAAAACAAAGAGAACTGCCCACAGGAATTTGTATGTAAGCCACAGAATTCAGCTGAGCCCAGATTCTGCCAGTGTTCCCCTTTCAAAATCTGTATGTCTGGAAGTGGCTTATTTACTCATCCAACTTACATGGGTTCCTGATTTCATGGCTACGTTTCAGTAACTTGTCCAGATCTGAAATACAAAAAATAATTGTTTAGGTTAGTACAATTAGACCAAAGCAAAATCATTATAGCAATTGGATTTAATTTGTCAGTGAGCCTTATTTATGTCAAGAAGATAAGTACAAAACATTCCAAACAGGGAGAACTAGAGAAGGTGGTGGAGGTAACTCTTAGTTCCGTCTGAAGAGAACATTGATTGTATCAACTCAAGAAATACAGTAGAGAAGTTTTAGATAATTATGACAGCGTGTGAAATCTGAATGGAAAAAATGACTTCCAAGATCATCGTAATTTTTCTTAGGAGCCTGAAAACAAAACTGTCCTCTGTCTGTCAGGGAACGAGAAACATCTTTCCAATGACACAACTATCATTAAGCGACATCAACCACCACTGTTCTGGGAGAAGCTTTCCTTTAGACACCTAATACTAGAAAATTATGGCACACTGTTTTTTTGTGCTTGTTAATTATAAGTTTTTACCTTCTTGTGTTAAAGCGCAGCTGGCAGAGATATCATCATCTACGTCTGTAACCTCCACTGAATATATTCCCAGATCCTTTTCTGATGGATCTTTCAATATAAGCTTAGATCTTAAAAATAAAGGTAATAATAAATGTTTATTTTTCACTCAGAAGTTACATTGGCTTTTTTTTTTTTAAAGAATACAACACATTTGATACATCTGCAACATCAAATTTAGTACTTAGTCATTTGTATGTGACACTGAGGAGCAAGTGGACATTTTTCTCTGCACATCATCTACTCACTTATTGCCTTTCTCTTCTGTCTGAACTCTGTCAGCATCTGGTGGTCCTTCATAGTCCTTCGACCAGATAAATTCAGAGGAGTCATTCTTTTCAGGAGCTTCAAAAGCCATATAAATGAACCCTTCTTCATCCACCCCGAGTTCAATTTCATTTGTGCCTGAATGATAGAAAGAAAGAAAAAAAGTAAACAAAAATATTACTTACAAAGACCAGCTTAGCTTCTCAGGCTGGATGTGAGGAAGAATTTCTTCTCCCAGAGACAATGCACTGGCACAGGTTGCTTAGGAAGTGGTGGGGTTACCATCCCTGGAGCTGTTTAAGGGAAGGGTGGATGCGGTGCTTAGGGACGTGGCTTAGTCAGCAATATTGGTGGCAGGTGGACAGTTGGACTGGATGATCTTAGAAGTTTACACAACCTTGATGACTCTTTGATTCTGGACATTGGATGTTAAAGCCAGAGTGTACAGCTAGAGTAAATTCATTTGGGCAGATTAATTTACTAAACTTTATTTTGACTGGGGTTTTTTCTTGCCATGGAATGCGTAGCAAATATTTAATAAAGCACGGTTCTTTTCACAGGAATCAACATAACATGTACAGACATAGCAATCCATCACTCAGTTTCATACCTGGCTTGCTTTTAGCCACCACTGGATCTGAGGCAAGTGAAGGGGGTCCAATTCCAGCCTTGTTCAGTGCTCTTACTCGGAAAATAAAGCATTTCCCTGTGTCTAGGTCTGAAACCTGCAGGAACCAGTGACAGGAATCAATAAATGTTGCAAAGCAATGCTTGGATACTGAGTGCATATACTGACCTTCATATGAGTGGCAGCTGTGGACTGCTTGTTTATTTGCTTCCATTCCTCTGTCCCTTCTTCACACATGTCTACATAATAGCCTGTAACTGGACCTGCGCCTGTGTACAGTGGGGCTTGCCAGTGCAGCATCAGGGAAGAGTCTCTCACTTCAGAGAACTTCACATCATAAGGAGGACCTGTTCAAGGAAGAGTGTGCTGTCAAGCTATGGCATTAAAAGATTTGATGCATCATACAAGTTTGAAATCAGAAAGCAGAGTTTTATGATAAGCTGGGAACAGTGAGTCCAGAAGCAACACTTTCTATGCTAATTAACTGTAGAGATACGTTCTAGAAAGAAAATGCACACATGATTTAATGTTATTAGCTTTGGTATAATAACATTAAGATATTAGAGCTATATTCTTACTTTTTTTTTTTTTAAACAATGCTATTAAAAGTACTTCGATGCTTTATGAGTGAAGTGTGGAAATAGTACCCTACATCTGAATCAGAACATCCCAAATGTTTGTGTGCATTTGTTTACTGGGACCTCACCTTACACAGACCTATAGTCTTGAGAAGTCCCTCAGAGTCACTGAAAAGTGAGAACAGAACTAGTGTATGTGGAAGTGTTTTTCCGCCTGTTCGTTTTGTGAGAGGTACCTGGTTCTTGCATTGTCCATTCCTCACATCTGAACAAGTCGCTGGGCTCAGATACTTCCCCAACACCTGCCATGTTCATTGCACATGCGCGGAATTCATACAGATGGCCTTCTTCAAGGTTGCTAATCTTCGTGTTCAGAAAAGCAGAGAAAATATTAGCATGGCCTTGCATGGTGGTAACCTTATGAGAGTATGAAGAAAGTTCTGGACTGAAGGAAATAGAAGAAAGCACCTTATCCCATGGTTCCCACTATACATAAAGAAGGACAGCATTGTATCTGAAATTAATACCGTGTAAACTCGCTGAGGAATTGGCTGACTATTGACTTCATGCCAATCCAGCTCAGATGCATCATGCTGATCCAGGAAATAACCCAGAATCTTTGTTCCTCCTTTACGCTTCGGGGGTTTCCAGCCGATGGTCATGCTGGTCTTCCCACAGCTCAGCAGAACAAACCCACGTGGTGCTGATGGGCGAGCTGAGCAGCAAAGGAACAGACAAAGGACAGTGCTACTCAGTGCAGGTTTGGAAAGGGTGGATGCAGTACTTAGAAACATGGTTAAATGGGTAACGCTTGCGGTAGGTGGATGGTTGGACTGGATGATCTTAGAGTTCTTTTCCAACATTAATGGCTTACGATCTAGGGATTAGGGAAAGAGGGGGTACATATTGGACAAATCAGCTTGGAGAAATATCTGGCACATTTGATGTGACTCTGTTTACGTCAAGATCTCATAGTATGACTTCTGCTGTGTAAAAGCAGCTACCAGGATAACAGTACATTTAAAATGATCACTTGTACCAGTGCCAAACAAGTACTAAAAGTGTAACACATTGCTGAATCAAAATGCTAATTAACATCGCCCACTCTTGCCAAGCATAAATGACAACAGAAGCAGGGGGATACAAGAAAATCAGTTCCCTGTTGCTTTGCTTATCTGCTCAGTGTTATTGCCATAACGTGTAATAATACCTGTGCATGGCAGATTTGTCTCAGAGGGATTTACATGCACATCTGTTACTTACCTATTGCTGGCCTTACAGTGATAGGGTCTGTTTCTGGAGAGCTTTCGCTCAATCCTGCCTCACTGACAGATTTCACACAAAAGACATACTCCTTTCCAGCTTTCAGCCCTGGGACAGTAAATCTAGGAAAAAAAATTACCGTTTGTGCTGATTGTTCAGAAAACAGATGAAAGGTCTTTTGAATAGATGGCAATATATTTTAATAAGAAACTGTTCCTTGCAAAATCCTTATTTCTCATTACAAACTGAAGCGTCACATAAAATAGATACTGATAGGTCAGACAGTTAGCGTAGGTCAGATAGCAAGGTGTCACACTGCTGCCTGGCACTGCCAGTACAACAAATAGGACTTTCAGTGGACTTCGCAGTTGACGTGCGACTCTCACAACTAAGAGAGATTTTCTAAATACTGTGCATGTGACACTAACATACTCTGCTGGAAAGCAAATAAAAAAATGGAATGTGGTTCTACCAGTCATGCCACAAAGTCTATCTTCTGCAGACTGAGAGTCTATGATGATACACACAGATGCTGCTGTCAGTCTGGCTTTAGACATAAAAGTGCGACTGGGGACTTTAGCTGACGAGCAGCTCTTAGTGCTAAAAGACGATCTGGTGTTTGCGTGCATGCCTGTGTGTGCACTGAAGGAAGTTCTTTTTTTAACTGAAACATGACTCTGGCCATAAAGAGAAGAATCCAAGCTTGCACCCTATCTCAATGGAGTACAATAGCTGCACGCACTCATTACACATCATGGGCTTATTGTTGACAGTTTGCCATTCTTCTGTCCCAGTCTCCCGACAATATATGTAGTAGCCCAAAGGTTCCAGACCATCCTTTAATTTATCCCACTGCAAAACAACAGATGTCTTGGTGTCTCTGAAAGCTAAAACCTGAGACGGTGGTGGTAAAGGAGCTGCAACAGAAAAAAAGCACAGAAAAATAGTTGGTTATTTAGAAGAATAGGTAAACTCAAATGTGTTTATTAAGCGAGTTCACTGATTTATTCACCTTCCCCAGAGCTTTGTTTACAAATTAGAGCAAATCACCATAAACACTGTCCCTGTCTGTTCACATTTGGGTTTGTTGCTCCTCGTTCTCCTTCCCCTGACAGACCATTGCTTCAGCAGTTACACCCATGTAACCTCTATGAAATGAGACCTGCTTCACTCTTGAGAAACAAAGGACAGTATTAATGAGCACTAGGGAAGATTTAATGCAAGAATATGAAATAAGAGAAACAGCTACTCCTCTCTGCCTAATGGAAGCATGGACATGAGCCTGCCTGTTGTCTCATCAGTCCCAGGAAGAAACCCAAACAAATCAGCGCTCTAAGCACCACTCTTTATCTGAAGGCCCTAGAAAGCAGCTGCTTCTGCAATCACAGTTGTATCATTCCTTCCAACACCAACATGTAACCAAGTGCTGGAAGCACACTTGGATTAAACACAGGGTTCCACCATCCCTTACTTAATTAAATGTAATTCCCCTACTGTGGCTTGGTCAGATTTATACTGCTTTGACCAACTGCAAAGTAATTGAAGGAGGATTTAAGGCTTTAAGAGGTTTCCTGACATCAAAGCAACGGCTATGTAACAAAATAACATGAAGTTTAAAGGAGGTAGCATGGGGGACGGGGAGGAATCCACACATTAGCTCTGTAGCACATCTCCTCTTCCATCATTAGTGTAGTGCATAGCAGTGAAATAATTACCGAGTTTTGCTCCAGCAGTGATTGGTTCGCTGGGCAGGGATGGCTCACTGATTCCATACTTGTTAATGGACCGCACTCGGAAACGGTACGTTTTTCCTTTAGTGAGATCAAAGAATGCAAATCTTGGGGAATTAACTGGCATATCCAGATTAACCATTTGCCAGGAGTTGCTGCCCACAAGCAACTGTAAGGAAAAAGGTAGCGATTTACAATTCACAAAAGCTTAAAACTCCTGACAGACAACAGAGTCAGTCTTCCTAGAAAAATATGTGTATTTCCTTTATTAAAAAGGGTAAATGATCAATTTCTTGTTGACATATGTTATCTTTTCTTCCTTGGAAACAGAAGGTCCTTTTGCAGCAGGATGAGTACAGCAAATGGGAAATGAGTACCAGTAAATTGGTAGGAGGTACTCATTAACCAGCAAAAGGACTAAAGGGGAATTGAAAAGTGGACTACTGTACAGTTCTTCACTGCCTTTCTGCACCTGGGAGGCCCATGGGGCAGAAACAGTTTTCCTGTTAACGCTCTTCTACCATTCTGTGGATTATATTTTACTAATTGACGCTTTGTCTTTTTAAGAGCAAGGCTTCTCCCCACCTTATGTGCAGTGATGGCTTATTTCTACCGTCCACTCTAAACAGCCACCAGCAATTATCTGCATTCAATAATGATTCCTGTGCTTCAGGCCATGTGAGAAATAAACACTCCTGTCCAGGAGTAGCAGCAATCTCCTTTCTTTGTGATGTTATTTCCTTACCTTTTCCACATAATATTGGAGTGATTCTCTGCCTCTCGGATCTGGTTCATCCCAGGCCAAAGCCACATAATCTTCCCTGACCTCACTTGCGTGAACATTGGTGGGTGGCAGGGGAATCTTAATGTGTCCTATGGGAAATCAGTACCGAATATGCTTTAGAATCATACAATCATGGAATCATTTGAGTTGGAGGGGATCCTCAAAGCCCATCTGATCCCACTCTGCAATGAACAAGGACACCCACGGCTTCGTCAGTGCTCAGGGCCTGATCCAGCCTTCAGATATAGTGCCAAAGAACAACAACAAAAAAAAAACAACGATGTTACTTTAGAACAGATTACTTTCTCCTGGTGTAAAATAAGATCCTTCAGTATAAAGGAGGAGACTTAAGTATTTTAAGTATTTTGGAGACAGGAAAACCAAGATTTTCACAAGAGTTTGTACTGTTTATGATAGCTTCTATATCCTTGTGCAGCTTACAGATAGGTTTTCTCCTTGCTCTCTGTATAATCAATGGATATTAAGATGTTACAATCACAGAATAAACAAGAGAATTAGGTGAAGTAGATTATGATAACAAAGGAGAATAAATGGAAGGCTTACCCTTATGCTGGGCTCACCACAAAACACCAGAAGGAGGGATCTCCAGAAGAAATCCTTCCCCCCTGGTAGCCAGCTCTTAAATAGGTCTAGGAGGGGTGCAGCCTGGCTCCACCCCTTCCGGCAGCACAGGTGAATTGCCTTCACTGTGCTCCTCTGGCTGACTCATGGCTCGCCTCAGGTGATCGATCAGAGGTTCAGGCTTTGACTCAGCAGTTCCCATACACTCTCTAACAGTCAGTTTTAAGGGAACAGCCCAGTATAGATTGAGCTTACCTTCTAGGTCATCCTTGAAAATTTCTATCATCCTGCCTTCATCATATGGAATAACTGTAATATCAAACAGAACAGTGTTATCCAGCAGGAGATACAGAGCTGTGTCAGAATGCTTGGAGATTGATGAAAAAGATAGAGGTCAGAATTGTGTAGTATAATTTTATGCATAACTATGTATGTTTCATGACATACTCAGTGACATTTCATATCTGTAATGTTTTGATGTTTTCTGTTCCAGAGTAGTACTGAGGTGGGCTTCGTGAATGAACAGCACAGCAGGGTGCTGCATTGGTGTTTTTAGCAATGAGGAGAATCTGGACAAACTGCATTCATCTGTACTGCAGCCTCACATTGTACTGAAGGAACAAATTTTCCTGCTTTGAGTACACACCTGTCACTCTCTTGCCTTTGCTGGGGTCATACATTATAACTGGATCACTGCTTTTTGAAGGATGACTGATCCCCGCTTTATTGACAGCCTTCACTCGGAACTGATATGCCTGTCCTTCAGCAAGGCCCAGGACGGGGTATCTGCAGGTTTTCAGAGGCTTTTCATTGCATGGAACCCAGTTCTCTGACCCAGCCGTACACCTGGAATGGAATGTATCCCATGGAGTTCCTTTGTGATTTCCCGCAACACAATCATGAGGTTTCTTTCTCTAACAGATAGAAGTACAGACCTTTCAATAAAATATCCAAGGATTGGGCTTCCTCCATCATCACTGGGCGCTATCCAAGAAAGAATCAAGCAATCTTTATTTATGTCGTGGCATTTCACATTGAGAGGGGATCCAGGTGCACCAGCTGATTCTGCTGCAGCATCTGCAGGAACACCAAGCTATTTTGGTTAAGACTTTCTTCTCAGTATCAAAAAATTAAGTTACTGAGTCAAGGTTAAGTGTGTCCCAGCAATACAAGTCGTATTTTTACATCTTAATCACAACTGAATGTAAGATTTGGACATTCTGTTAATTGTAACAGAAAAAAAGCACAAAATTGGGACAGACTTTCTTGAGAATGAGGCAGTGAATTCCTTTATGCCAAAGTATTAGGGGACAAGCCTTTGTTCTAAGTAGGACAGCACCCTGTTATTACCTCGAACAAACACATAAGTGGTTTGCTCTTTGCATCCACCCAGTGAGGGGACACGGATTGTGTAGAACCCCTCATCTTCTTTGTAAGCACATGACACTCTTAGAGAAGCTTCCTGGTCTTGATACTTCAGTTCCTGATGTTCTGAGTTCTGCAGCAACTCACCTGTAAAGCATGAAAAGGGTAAAGGAGATCCACCTGAACTGGTGGAGTGAGGATCGATGCATTTCCAAATGGAAAAATAAAATACAACCAAACTCACCATCAAAAACCAGAGAAACAAAACTAGAGCAGCAAGATAAGGGATCTGCAAGACACTCCTGATAATATACCTCACAGTTATACTCATGGACCCTGATCCTATTTTATTGCCATCCCTCTGTGTTCACTGTGCACAGAAAGAACAGATCAAAAAGAACAGTCCCTGTCCTGGAGAACAATCCAAGCAATAAAGAGTAGTGAAATTACTGAGTCAAAGCTAGTCTTCACAGCTGGGAACAGGATGCACTGAATTCTGACAGATAATTTAGCAGTTCTACCTGAGGATGCAAATAAATAACATCTCTATTGAGATAAGAGCTGAGAGCAGCTCATGAATCCCTAATTCTAATCCTCTCATATAAGCATTAGAATATAGCTATAAAATCAAATGGTGTAGTCATATATGTATATGTATTCTATATGTATAAGCGTAGCTACCGCATACAAACCATCTCTGAACCAGGTAATGTTTCGCTGGTGTTCAAGTAAATCAGAAGTGAAGTAACAGGAGAGGGTGAAAGGCTCCTTTTCTCTTGAAAATAGTGGTTTCAGCGAGGAGGCAAAGTCTGCCTCTCTGGCAAGAAGAGATCCTATGAAACAGAAATGAAATGCAGCATGAGAGAGATGTCCCAGAGATCTCTAGCTTGTACCATATTTTTTGTCTTGTATTTAGAGGGTGGCTGAGCCTCGTGCTTTTCCCATGCAGGCAGGCTTACAGGAAAACTTAGAGCTCGGAAAAGAATTCCATTGCTTCAGGTGGCAAAAATCAAAGAAATAACAATCACTGACATTTACTTACTCCTGTATATTTCCGAATCAAAGCCCGACTCCTTTCCGTAATAGTCTACAAGACAAGAAGGAAATGCATTTAGCAAATCTATTCCGGTGTTTATCTTCCCCTCAAATATGTACAATGACACTCAGCAAACTGCTCTTTTCTCTCAAAGCAACTCTTAATGTGACCTTCAAAGTGTCATCAGGCAGTAAAACATCAATTTGCTTAATGACAGAGGTCGTTCCTCATCTGGAGGGCAGCGAGTCTCCCACAGAATTTCTCTTTCAGCAGCTGTGGTTCTTTGGAGGCATTGCCCGCACCACCCAATGTTGCCCCAAGAGCTGTTGGTATCACAGCACAAAATGAGATGATTTGGAGCTGGACTCTAAGAACCAGTGCACTGAAACGGGATGAAACCGAGGTGCTCTCTTACCTCTAAGCCCCAAGAAATGCACATAAAATAAGATATTTTTTCATTTTGGCAATAGCAAAGCTCACTCATAAGCACAAGACAAGTATTGCCTGTAAACAGCTGAAGTGGAAAGAAATGGAAAGGATGAGAGGGGAAGCACAGCCTCATGCTGGGTCCTGTGAGACCTCCATGATGTCTGAAGGCACAGTGAGTTATGCTGCAAGAATCATAGAATTGTTAAGGTTGGAAGAGACCTCTGAGATCATGCAGTCCAACCATCCACCTATTGGCAATATTGTCCATAAATATGTCTCTAAGTATTACTTCCATGCTTTCCTTAAAGCACACCTCTAGAATCCGTGACCCCTCAACTCCCTAGGCAGCCTGTGCCAATGCATCACCACACTTTCTGAGAATAATTTGTTCCCTATATCCAACCTGAATCTCCCTTGGCACAACTTGAGGCCATCACCTCTTTCATCCAAATCATCAATACAGATATTAAACAGGGCCAGCCCCCCAGCCATCCCCTGGGGAACACTACTGATATGACTCATTGCCAGCTGAATCCATCTCCATTCACCACCACTTGCTGGACCTGGCCCTCCAACCAATTTCACCCAGCAAATAGTGAATCACTGAGCCTAGAGACCCTCACCGTGGCACCAAAGACATTCCAGACAGCATAGGGCTAGGAGAAGAGATGTGATCAGCCTGCCTGCAAGAAGAGGAATGTTTCCAGTGAAGGAAGGATTAATGCCTTGGTATAGTCTCTATTTTCAGAAGGTTAAACACAAATAGCAAAAAGAAGAATCGTATTACTAAGATAATATTAGACAGGGTCAAGGGAAAAGAAGTGTGGGCCTCTCACCACAATCACAAGGAACAACACTTGCAAACTGTTCAGAAACCCTGGACTCATACTGAAAGCATTCAGTTGTCTGCTGTTCTGTAGGCCTAGACTATTCAGGCTTTTAGATACAAAATTATGATCTATATATGTTTATATATGTAGTTAGGAAGTATGAACAGCCAAATCATGATTCTGTGAGATTACGTGGCACATTTCTTAAAGCATGATATAATTTCCCTTTTCAGGCAGTCATAGTTTACTTCCTTCACCACGTTTGAGTTTGGCTTGCACCAGACCCCAAAGAGTCTGCGCCATCTGCTGTACTACTATTGGTTACTACTGTGGGAGACGAATATGGTATTCCATGCAGTACTGCATTAAGACAGCCCGCTGAAAACCAATTGTTCACCAAGTTCATGCTTAACTTTAGAAGTGAACCAGACTCCTAGGAGTGCTATGTATTCTGTATGTTGTGTGTGTTTGTCTGTTTTACATCAAAACAAGTTTTATATCAGTCCAGATATATCCAACTATCTACATTTAGTACAATTTCGGTGTAGTGATAGGACAGCTGTGTCCATATGCAATCCAGAAGATTTTGCCTGACTCCAGAAGTGACAGAAGGGCCATTATATCTGCGACTGCACATTGGTTGGCAGTAGCTAATAGTATTTCATGCAGTTGTGCTTTCCCGTCCCTAATAAACGAGAGGTGTTCTCCTTTCACATTAACAGAGTGCTCACTTCTTTCTATTTTAATTTTTTTAATTATTATTTTTTTTCCAGGGTACTTGGGTGGTTTTTAATGATATAACATATAGTACTGAAAATATTTGAAAGAATCTCAAGAATGTGAAAATTTTAAAAGCAAAGGAACATTTTCTACTTACTCCTGACAAGCACTGTAGCAAATGAGTAAGCCTTGCCATACTGATTCTCAATTACAACACTGTATTCAGCAGAATCTTCCATGGAGCATCTGGAAAAAAAAAAAAAAAAAAAAAATTCCCATCCTTTTTAGGTTTCAGTCATCGTACTTCACAGGACAAATTCAGAGAGGTTCCCTTTAATCCCTAGAGTTAGAAGCAGACACTTTTTTTTCCACTGAGAAGCTGCTTTTCCTGTTGCTTGGAAGAATTTCTTAGGGATCAGCTCTTTTATCTTGAATCACATGTAATAAGCAAGCAGAGACCCATCAAACACCAGATTCCAGTGAAGATATGCAGGAATATTTATCACATGGGTTACAGGGTTGATGAACCGCCGTAATTGTAATCATGTTGATCAGTCCCAAATCACACTGGTACACCTTTTCTTTTGTGAATTGCTCTTAATGAGCATGGTATCATCCCGAATGACAAAGTTCTGGCTTCTGGCCATGCCAAAAAAAACCCAGAAGTAAAAATTAACGAGGCTGTAAAATTTTGGTAATAACAAATATTTAACATTATGAACTGTTGAGATTGCTTACTAATGGCAAAGGCTCAGCCCAAACACAACACAACGATGCCAAGCTGGGTCAGATTCCAGAACAGCTCTCTTTTTCTCCAGCACACAGAAAGTGTTTGTTTTAGAAGAGTGAGTCTTATTCAAGTAAAATAAACCTCCTCAAAGACAAGAGCATACACCTTACCTGCTGATGCGCAAGGTCAACATTCCAAACTCGTTTTTGATCTTGTATTTTCCTGCTGGGGCTAAACGGAGGTCAATCGGGACTCCATTTTTATACCTAGTTGAACACACAGGTGACATGAGAAAGGGATGAAGAGACTGACTGATGCAATTAACACTTCCTTTTAAAGCTAGCAATGTCTAACACCACAGAGGCACAGAAGAGGAGTAGAAAGCTGGTCACATCTCTCTGTTACTGTTTTCATCCCAAATCAACTTGGAACAGTCTTGCAGCTAACCTAGAATCCACCCTAAGTTTACATGTATTTCTTCTCTAGGGCTGCTTGGAAACTGCCTGTAGGCTGTTCTGCACTGGTTTGTTGCTTCCTCCTCTCATGCTCTTTGCTGTGCAGGTCATTTGACGGAGTCTGAGACAATGTCTCTTGCTTCCTTTTGTCAACTGGAGATGTGTGGGAGGTTCTTACTCTCTTTGTTCTTTGAATAATTCAAAGACATAGTTCTGAAATCATAAAATCATTAGGGTCGGAAAAGATCTCTAAAATCCTCTAGTCCAACCATCCACCTATCACCAATATTACCCACTAAGCCATATCCCTAAATACTACATCCATCCTTTCCTTAAAAGCCTGTAGGGACAGTGACCCTACCAACTCTCTGAGCAGCCTGTGCCAATGCTTCATCACTCTTTCTGAGAAGAAATTCTTCCTAATACCCAGTCTGAACTTCCTCTGGTATAACTTAAGGCCATTCCCTCTTGTCCTCCTCATCAGGAGTTCTGACAGTACCAGTACCATTTGCCTGCAGAGTCATTAATAATTCAAATGTTTGCATACTTAGAACTTTTCATGGGAGGAATGGTTAATACATCAACGGTTCTTTCTGTCCCTTGATTATTAATAGTAAACGTAGCACTTAAATCCCAAGATTGCCCACAGGACAGAGTATATAGCACCAAGGGAGGCCTGGAGATCAAAGTGTCTGTGCTATCTCAAAGGAGCCCCATAAGACTGTCCACTGTCTTCAGGACCCACTGAGTACTTCACATATTCACTAGTCCTAATAGTGGAATTGGGAAACTCCGTGACCTGTTAAGCTCTCCCTTTCTTCTGTCAGGACACAGATGTTACCACTCTGGTTGCCTCCTGACTTGCACACATACTTTTTAGTCATGCTGGCAACATGAGCTATTGGCATCGACTGACATACCAGGTCACCTGTGGCAGTGGGGAAGCCAGGACTGTACATGTCAGTGTCACTTCCATCCTCTCCCAGACTGCGTGTACTCTGAGGGGGATCCAGAACATAGGTGCTCGACCCGAACACAGCTCAATGTATTCCTTCTCCCTGCGTGCCTTTTCTACAGCCTGTGACAGGGACAGACTAAATAAAGGCAGTGGAAAGAGATTGTTTTCCAGTTACACAAGTTCTCTTACATAAGGGACATGTGTGATAATGCTTCAGTGGCAGAGATGCAAGGGCTTGTCCTTATTGCTGACAGTACTGAGGTGGTCCCATCACCTGATTAGGTTTGGTATCCTCTCCTGAATGATAGTTAGTCTTGGAAATTATAACCCTGTAGGCATTTCTGCTATCAATAGAGATATCTGATCTGACCTTCCTCCGAAGCACTCTCCGGTCGGCTCTCACACGCAGCAGTCTGCAGTTCTTAATAACCTCCTCTTCCAACTTCTCCATCTCATTCCCAAAACAAACTCTCTTCTGCCCCCTCTGCTCAAGCTCTAAGATGGCAGCTTCTCTTCTTAGCTTGTAATTCCTGCAACAGAGGATGTCAAAAGCTAACAAAAGTCAGGATAATGCTCTTTTATTTTGATCTTTCTGTTTTGTTGTTTTTATAGTAAACAAGTGTCAAGGATAGAAATATCAATTTGAATGTCATATGTAGTCATATGATGTCAGGCAATTGTGCCTCACAGAAACCAACACTGCTACCATGAGTTCTAGTGCTTTAAAGGCACATGAAAGGGATCTGCTATTAATCACTTCTAATCACACATGGAGAGCTGGCAGAAGAGCTAAAGAGAGGAGAGATGCTGCTAACTACTTGTGTTGTTCAGCCATCGCAGAAGGATGGACAGCAGGACCAGTGCCAAGATTTTTTATAAAAGAGGAGGGAGTTCCATCTGTTGCCATTATTCGTTAATTTGAATCTGTATTTTCCATTTATTCCCATGAAATACAGTTTCTCCTAAGCTCTTGTTTGTGAGGAAGGTAATGTTACTCAGCACTACAGGAACCAAGGAAATATAATTTAGTTTCCTGCATTTGCAGATGGCGTTTTTCAAAGAAAAACCTCTTGATTGAACCTGGTCTTTTTGCTTCCAATGGAATGAGTTGGAACCTGTGACCCCCGTAGAAAGGTGATATTGGACACAACGTTTGTTTTTGTTATAGCGATTTTTGACTTACCGTGGTGTTTCAGAGGTCAAGGCAAGGGCAGCTGCTATGGATAACTCCGAAAGGCTGAAAGTTTCTTCTTCCTCACTTCCAGATATAGATGCACATAAAAAGAATCCAGACAATTGCCCATAATTTCATAAATTAAACATTCAACAAAGCTGTTTGTATTCAAAACTGAGTGCAGTGCTTCAGAAAGTCCCGTGTGGACCTGATTTACTCAGACCATCCCTAGCTCTGTGCTTACCTGGTTTTGAACCTTTTCTTTCTAGTCATGGAGGTCATTTGCAACCTCTGCTGCCTCTCCTCCTTTTGTTCCTCCTCTCTATGGTGGAAGAATGTTTGAGTTCCCATGCTGTGAAGTCAGAGGCAAACTTTCTTGCTGGAATGGAATAAAACATAAAGTGACTTTCAAACAAGGCAGCTGAACAAAGTGCCCTTCAGTTAACATTATGTCCTTACTTTGCTTTGACATTCAAATGCTGCAAATGAAAGTTCATATAATACCGCCTTCTGTCATTTGAACTAAGAAAGAGATATTTTGTGACCCATCAGCCGAAAGTGAACTCAGACAAATAAGTCAAAAAGTCTTTAAAGGTGGCTGAAGTTTAAACAGAAGAGTAAGCAAGCGGTGTTCTGTGGGCTGATCTGTTTTCCAAAGGCTGATGCTCTAAAGCCGCTGGATATTCTTCCAGGGTGTTCCATTAGCTCAGACCCCCAATATAGCATACAGGCAAGTGAGGAGAGCCATGAGAAGCGAAATGAGAGGAACACTGATGATTAGGGATAAAACAAATACAGAACATCAGGTAGTGAACTATGAATGAAAAGTTTAAAATATAAGCAGATTTTCAGTCTGGAAACAATGTTGTGGGGGGAGTGGATGCCAAATAGCCTGTGCCCTGCTATTCAGACTGTAAGTGCACCGTGTTCTGACCCTGCCTGAATGTGGCAGAGGTTGGATCATATAGTGCAGCTGCACCAAACATGTGGGCAGGAATCACTTGGGGGCTGTATTAGCTGGAATTAATCATTTGCTGACACAGGGCAATTCTTCCCCCACATAACACAACTGCATATCAAAGCTGCTGGCAGTTACAGTGAGTACTTCAACAGGGTAATGCTTTATCCAGTCCTGCGAGTGAATCCCAAGGAATCACTTGTTTCTCCCTGAAAACAATTGGTAATGGTCTCTGGGCTCAATGCTTCTTGCAGCATAACTCACTGTGCCTTCAGACATCATGGAGGTCTCACAGGACCCAGCATGAGGCTGTGCTTCCCCTCTCATCCTTTCCATTTCTTTCCACTTCAGCTGTTTACAGGCAATACTTGTCTTGTGCTTATGAGTGAGCTTTGCTATTGCCAAAATGAAAAAATATCTTATTTTATGTGCATTTCTTGGGGCTTAGAGGTAAGAGAGCACCTCGGTTTCATCCCGTTTCAGTGCATTGGTTCTTAGAGTCCAGCTCCAAATCATCTCATTTTGTGCTGTGATACCAACAGCTCTTGGGGCAACATTGGGTGGTGCGGGCAATGCCTCCAAAGAACCACAGCTGCTGAAAGAGAAATTCTGTGGGAGACTCGCTGCCCTCCAGATGAGGAACGACCTCTGTCATTAAGCAAATTGATGTTTTACTGCCTGATGACACTTTGAAGGTCACATTAAGAGTTGCTTTGAGAGAAAAGAGCAGTTTGCTGAGTGTCATTGTACATATTTGAGGGGAAGATAAACACCGGAATAGATTTGCTAAATGCATTTCCTTCTTGTCTTGTAGACTATTACGGAAAGGAGTCGGGCTTTGATTCGGAAATATACAGGAGTAAGTAAATGTCAGTGATTGTTATTTCTTTGATTTTTGCCACCTGAAGCAATGGAATTCTTTTCCGAGCTCTAAGTTTTCCTGTAAGCCTGCCTGCATGGGAAAAGCACGAGGCTCAGCTACCACTCTGAATGCTCAACACTCATTTCTTCCTGCTTTGCCTCTTTGGAGATGTAATGGTGCTGAATGATACCAAACACACTTGCCAATCTGCTCCTGTCTTATACTCTGTTCTTGGAATTTTCTCTTGACAGATTTTTCACTGCATTTTTGCTTTACCTCTTTTTAATACTACATAATAAACATGACTGCCCCACATCTCTGACAAGCATTCTGATTTTCTGTCAAAGTAAACAACTAGTGCAAGACCAGCCCATGGAGAAGCACAGCAGCATGGCAAAGCACTGTTCTGGTTAGAGCAAAATATCCCCAAATGCAGATGAAAATACAGATTTCCTCAGCAGATGTTGACTTTGGCAGAAACAAAGAAGCACTGGCAAGAACAAAATACAGGAAAATAAAACAGATCTTTATAGAAAGAAATATCTTTTTATTTCCCAGAATATGACTCTCTTCAGGACTATTTCAGCCACAAAATGACTGCAGGGCATCAAATCTTTGCTTCCACATACACAGACAGTTACTGTTCTGAGGTTATTTTTAATATATACTGCTTTCTGTTTTTCTTCCTGGTAATTTTCCAGTGCTCTATAATCTGGTGTTTGTTGCAAAGCAGTAGAGTTCTGAGCAGTTAAAAGATACATTTTTGAATCCAAATATGTGCATTTTTCTTAACAAATCAACGAAGCAAAATAGATTCATGTGAGCAAACATGAATAAAAACTAGTTGCCTAAGAACAACACTGGAAAAACAGCAACAACACTTCAGAGCAGATCAATCACAAAGCACAACCCATCTCTGTGGTGCAATGCAAATAACAGGATCATACAAAGATGCTGCTATGAAATCATTTAAAATCCTGCTGTAAACCGGAGTTTATTTGCAGATATATCAACTTACCCTATGAAGACTACAGTGAGAGTGCCTGTCTCCACGAAAGAGAAAGGACAAAGGAGCGTTTCCTATTCCCTGTTGATGACACTAAGAATGACTCTCCCCAAAAGAATGTTCCCCATGTTGGAGTGCCCATCCTCAAGTCTTAAATATAGCATCCTGCCATGCCATCGCTGTGACAATGGGGAGACCCATGCAGGGCTGCCTGAGCCGTTTGCTGCAGTGACAACTAATTGCAAACTGATCTTTAGATCAAGCAAATTATTGCCATTGCCAGTGATGCAAGGAATGAGAGGTGCCTCCAAAATTTGGGTAACTGAACATTGTATTATCCTCTGCTTCTTTAGGATAGAGGCTCACAGAGGAACAAAAAGTAATTACGAATGTTTTAACCTCTTCTGGGAATTTCCCTTGGTTTGATGCTGCCTTTAATGCATAATGGACTGAAATCATTTATTTTGACATCTCTTTAGTGAATGGCAACCCCAGCCAAATCACGTCAATGTATTATTAGATCAGGGTCAACACCAGCTCTTATGTTTCAGCTGGCTGTGACTATTATGTGTTCCTCATAACACGTAAATGAAGGCTTGATTCTGGGAGTCATTCTTAGTGTCATCAGTGGGGAAAATGAAATGCTCATTCTCAAAATAAAAACGCTCATTCTGAAAAGAAAAAGATTTACATGCACCACATGGGCAACTAACCCATGGCTGGGGGTTGGAATGAGATGATCTTGAGGGTCCCCTCCAACCTAAGCCATTCCATGATTTAAGAACCAGTGAGTGTAAGGCTACTGCCCGGCTGCTGTGCAAGTTCTTTCACGCAGCTCTGCTGCATCATTCCTCCCTATCGCAAACAGTGATATTTAGGCCACAGTGATGCCAGAGGGAAGCTATAAAGTCTGTTCTAACCTGGTCTTAATGCTTTCAGAGCTGCCCCTCAACTCTGCCTCATCCCATCTCCAGAATTAGGAGCTTTCTATTTGTTCCTTCAGTATGATTTTCCTCAAGGAATGCATCAAAAAAGTACTTTGTGATTACGAGTGTCTTCAGCTAGTTTGCCTTCCTGTGCCAAAACAACTGACGTGGAGAATGTGAGCCTCACTCCAGTGATACGCAAAGCTCCCCGGGTTGATTGGAGCAGGGCTGCTGGCACGGGGAGCAGCTCGGTGACAGCTCCCTGATTTAGCCGAGAAGACAAAGAGCAATGCTCTGCTCTAGGGTTACAGCTGCCACCTGCTGCACTGCCATCCTTGGGACAACTGGAACTGCTCACTTGTCACCATCATGACATCTGCCTGGGAATAAGCACAGTCTCTGTTGCAAAGCGGTGCTGCTTTTCTTTATCTAGAGCTATCAATGCTGTTGTCTGGGAAAGTCAAGAGAAACAAAGAACAGACTCTTGTTTGGTACAGATGGCTTGCATGACATGACCTTTGAAACAGCACTGAAACCATGCTGTTTATCTAAAAGTGTTCTTACATGGAATGGGAATGAGATAATTAGATCCTACCAGAGCTGTTGGCTGTGATGCATTTTGAAGCAAACAAGGCTATCGATATTATTACGAAAAGCTATTAAGTGGAAGGCAATAAGGTCACCACATAGAATCACAGAATGGCGGAGGTTGGAAAGGACCTTAAAGCCCACCCAGTTCCCTTCCCTTCTCTTCCCTTTCCCTCTGTGCTGCCCATACTGACTCTGAACAGAAAACTGTGTTCCACAACATGAGCCAAAATATTGGCACTGTGGCATTTGATGATTCCCTGAGTAGCATCCTTAGGAATGTTGTTGACATAAGATATGTCACCTGTGGCAACTCCAGATAAAGGAACGGGCATCACTGGTTTGAAATGCAGCTTCCCCAGGGGGGTTAGGAGCACAGAGCATTACCTCGGGCCTCTGACAACCTTTTGATCTCATATGACGTGGCCATAATACTTTGGTTGTTACTAATGCTGGAGCCAGGGGCTGAATTTTTGCCTATAAAGTCCAGCATTTCTAAGATTACTCTTTCAATCCCGGGCTGAATCATCACAAGCTCTTCATACAGCCACAGATTATTTGCAAAATTGCACATTAAAAAAAGTGGAATTTAACATTTAGTCTCAGCTTCTCAGAGAGCACCTGATTTTTGCTTCTGGTCAACCTTTCCCTAGCATTACTTTTCAAGTGAGTACTTCCTCATCCCATTCTAAATTGCTTTTTCCTGGTTTCAGTTCTCCTGTAAACCTGAGGTCATCAGACACTTGCACTTTTCACTACATCAGTGGAAACCAACAGACTGAACTACACTCTGCTCTTAGTGCAAAATGATTACTGCCTCCATCCCTCAAATAAATACCATTTTGCTTTTGGTAAAGGTGCAGTGCTAAGGGAACTTGGCTCTCATTTTAAATTGGTTTGGGTTCATTTCAGCCCTGGACATGGTGTGGTGGTCACAGGAGCAAAGGAAAGCTCCGCAGTTGTAGATTCCTCTCCATCATTCCAATGGAGTGCGTTCTTCATTGGTAGTAA